ATCTGAGCATAGGGCTCAATGAAGTGAATGCATTTAGTGCATAATCAGATGAATTTATTTCATGATTAACGCAAAAATTTAGCAGTTTGCTTCCTTTAAGAGACGTTTTCCGCAAGTCAAGCGAGCTAATATGATCAGTAAGAAATTCGGAAATAAGAGAGGCGAACCATTTTAATTAAACTGAGCTTGAACCGCATAAAAGACACAGAGAATGAATGAACTGAAAGAAAACGAATTAACTGAAAAAGAATGAATAAGTTAACTGAGCAACAAGCACATGGTAAGACAACAGCAACAACAAAGTACATTTATGGATAAATAAACCCTCCTCTCCTATTGGTGCAAGGGATTCTGTCATTCAGAGTCGTCATGAAAAGAAAACGTCCATTAATCTTTGAGCCAGTGCCTTCTCAAATAACTCCATTGCAATACCTGATAATAAATTCTTCAACTATCTTCACTGAAGTAATCAGGTACTGGAAACTACATTTCTAGGTCCCATATCTTTTTCAGTTAAATTTCGCCCCATATCAGAGGCATAGGTCTTGCGTACGGAAGTTTATTCTGTTTTCCGCAAACCCGTATGCCTTGAACTTATCGAGTTGAGAAATCTTCAACTTTTTTTGCCTTCCGTACGGAAAATTTCTTAGCATTCAGTGGCGTACCCAGGGCTGTAGTAGTAGGGGGGGGGGTCTGGGGCACAGCTTTCAGAATTTTTTGGGACCACGCCCTTCAAACACTCCAAATGCGGGGAAACGCCCTTTTTGCAAAATTTCCCCCCATTATTTGATTCATGTTAGCTACGGTAAATAGCAAACCTTTTTTTACAATTGTTATTGACATAAGCATACAGTACAGTATACTACAACCCCCCCAAAGAGTTTTAAAATGTTTCTGGACAAATCTCGAGGACCATATTTTAGAAAAATGGGGGGTCCAGACCCCCCCATTCCCCCTTTGGTACGCCACTGTTGGCAATGGCCGACTTTCAAGGAAAACTTTGTAAAGAGATACACAAATATCCCCCACGAGTATGATTCCTTGCTAGAGGACCGTCGGTTTGGAACCCCGGGTAAGAGATCGGGACAAATATTAAAGTCCTAGACAGGAGCATGAAAAATGGCTATTTATACCGGAATCATTGACATCAAACGCAAATCGTTGACAATAACGGCACAATCCCCGCAAACGGTTCGCAAAGCATTTGTAGGTAAAATATACCAGCATGTTTTGCTGTTCCTTTTATTTTTTTCTTCGTACAAGTAGAAGGGCAAGAGGAACATTCCTCGACGGCATGTCTGGAAACTATGAACTAAAATAGCTTATGGCATATTGTGTCAAGCTTCCTGCAAAGGCATGCGGAAAACGTACGTGTTTACGCTTTTTAGATATGCAAGATGAAAAGGCGTATGCTTCAAAGCTTACCCTTGTGCAGAATTTAGCGTAAGCTAATAAGTTCAGAACTATGAACCAAGCTTTAGGGGTAGGGAGATGCATTCAGAATCCCTTGTGTACTCAGAATCACTTGTGCTAGATTTGCAACAAAATGTACTGCAATGTATTCAAATGTATCGCTTGAAACTGGTATATTCTCTTTATTCTAGCCCTGTCACCAAGTTATGTTAGAGATGGAGCAACGGGCAAGGAAAATACGATCGAAACCGCATCCCTCAAACACACGCAATCAACTAGACAATACGTTCATATAGCAACAAACATATCTTAGCAAGCAAAATGATAATAATCTAAACACAAGATGTTACTTATTCCTCGATATGATAACATTCCCTCGTGCAGCACGACAAGGTAATCGAGTGCCTCTCAAGGACTTAAATTACTATACAATATTGGTCGAAAACAGTCACATGAGCAGGAAGAAGAAACAGAAAAATCCTTGATATGAGGAAAAACCTCGGTAAAGCAGTAGGTGTGATGACAAACGCAGGAATCAGTGGAAGTTAAGCGAACAAATTTGAACTGCCACCTACGTTGTTACTCTACAATTGCATACCTATAATGCGATTTGTAAGAAAACACTAAGATGCAGGCCGAAAGAGCCACGTTTGTTGCATATCTTATCTTCGCAACAATGCTAGACGAACAGTCTTATCAAGTTAAATCTAGACTCACAAACAAGATTGCAATGCTTAATTCGCTTGAAGCATGCGGATCTTCACATTGACCGTTAAATTTCGCTGCATGTTTATTGGCAGCATTACGAGCAGCTGCTAGAACATCAGGTTTTTACTACACCCGACAAAGGCAATCCACGCAGGTGCATCAGGATTCGATTATTCAATGCTCAGTACTCATTCAAAATCCAATGAATTGTCAATTTAAATTTTAAATGATTTTTCCAGCCATCCGCCCTCCCTAAAGATGAGCATACCCACAGCTTTATTCACTTATAATTTAGTGCAGCCAATCTTCACATACCAGGCTGCCACCCTAATAAACCCAAATGTAGTTGGCTACTTTTCTGAAAAATATTTTTGGGTGACAGTTCACGAATGCCAAAATAATGGAAAAACAAAGGTCTTTAAGCGGATACTGGAAATATTATGGTGTTCTTGATGAAAAGTCGAAAGATGAATATCATTTTATGTATAGGAAAGCTTCTAAAAGCAACAAATTAAGGAGGATGGGCTGGGTTTAAGGGGGCTTTGTTTTTCTGATATAACTTTATAATAAAATATTACTTTGAACCAATTTCTTGAAAAAGAAGACAAGATAGCTAGTATGCAAATATCAAGCTAAAATTTATTTTTCAAATATTCGAAATAATAAAAAAGCTTTCATTACTTCATGTTTACAAATACCTGTGCCCTTTTCCGATATATATTTTACTCCTTATTCCGATATTTTTCGATTTCCCACTGTGATGTAATGTTCTTAAAAAATTTAAATTCAAGTCTTTACCTGACTCCATTTTTCTCAACTTTCTGAACACCCTCTGTAGGTAGAATGGACTTTAACTAATGAGTATGCAATTCACTAAAATCTCAAGACCTTAGCCTCAATACAATGAATTCTTCTTTAGTCGATGCACAGGTGAGAGAGGTGTATTCTAACTATCCTATTCTCTCCTTTGTTCCAATATCAACAATATTTTCTTTGGTTATAATTCTTTATTCCCTTTTTCCAATGCCAACAATATTTCCTCACTTTATTTCCTGTGTTCAATTACGAATACCCAACGGGAAAACAATTCGTCTGTGCATGCACTGTTTCTTTTTTTTGCTTTGCTCCTTGATTTGGTTCTTCTCCTTAATAAGTCATCAGTGGTATTAATCTGTTTATTTCTGAATCATGTTGACCGTTTACTAACAATTGGATTGGGTATTCTTTTTTAGCCCTATCATATTTTCGTTATCAACAGCAAATTGGTTAAGGTAGTATTTCTTTCCCAACATCTCAACACCAGAAGCAATTTTGTTACAAAATTGTTGCCTACCGTTTCCTCCAATATCAACAGCAAACTGATTGCTGGAATATGGTGTCAAGACAAATGGTTTAGTCGAATGCATAAATGACGTTTGATCAAAGGTTTGGATCAAAGGGGAAAAGCATCTGATCTTCGCTGTTAAATTTTCACTTAATATAGGTGCTTGAAGAGCCTATTTTTGTTGAAACCCTGTTCAACCAAGCCTTATATTGAATGCTAGCATTTCAAGATTCAAAGTAACTCTCTAAAAACATCCTAGCTTGGTCAGGGTCCAGGCTACCAATCAAAAACCTCGAAATACAAAGATCAAAGATTGAGTTCCAACTTACTGGAACCATAGTTGATGCTGGAACGCATGCAGACCCAATCCTTTTCATCATTGATATCACAAAGGCTCTTCTTGTATTCAAAAAGCAGAAAACAAAGAGCAAGTAAGAGATGATATCTATGACCAATCTGTCGTTTATGGGCCTTACACATAAAAGAGACGCTACAGATATGCTATTGGATAAAGGTTTCTGTGGAGATGAAGACAGTAAGTGATGAAAATTGACAGTGATATTATGGTTGGCATGGCATTATTGAATTGAAACAATGATCAATACAGTTTTACTACAAGAGCACTTTAGTTTCAAAAATCAAATCAGAGGGCATAATTTCCAGACTTTTCAAAGATCTTAAATCTAAGGAACTAACCTAGTAACGTAACGTACAGACCAAATGCTAGTTAACTAAAAGCACAAAACAAAATGTGGAAGCGACTGTTGGCCGATTGTGCTAGTGGCCAATGACTCCTAAAATAGTTACTGATCATAGGATTAGACTTCATGTAATTTCTCCTTTTCTTTAACTGATGAATAATCTGAACGCTAGTTTACGCCTAATCTAACTTTCTGAAAGAATTTCACAAAACTTGCATCCCCATAATAATCTTTATTTAAGTTCCATTCACTTAGTTCTAAATTTAAATCTACTTGGCAACTTCTTTGTTCAGTCATTTTTGCCTTCAGATAACTTTCTTCTACTATATACAAACTCACACTATTGCAGTACACACTACGAGTTGATATGTTAAGCCCACCGTACATGGTCCATTATTGTCTTTGGACGACGTTAAATTTTGTCTTCGCGGAATCTGCACACGACACTTTTTTGTCTGTGAAGTACAGGAATGAAGTTGCTTGACAGAAAAGTTAAGGAACATCATCTGTCTCTGGCCACTCAAATTGCTAGCCAATTTTTCTTCCAAATATTTTTGTCTTTGGGATTTGCACACAGCAGGCTTTTCTCTTTGTTTTTCATAGACTGTTTTAGAAAGACAACAGTCTTTGTTTCTGACACCCACACACGGCAGATTTCTGTCTTGCAGAGGCAAAAGATAAAAATCTGGGTCTTCCTTGGATGAAGGCCTGCCATGTGTGGTGGGAGTAAGTTAGTTTACTGGTCAATTCGTTACCGAAATTATGCTCTTATTCAAGTCCGATATATCCATTCAAAGACAACTCTAGCTTTCTTTCCATTTCTTAACAGAACAACCAAAAAACAACGCAAAGGACACTAATAACAAAACTGCATCTCCTAGTTTCATATTAAGTTATTTGATCAGCTTTATACACTGGGTGCAGTTTTATTCAAGGAATTTAAAGAAGTAATATCATTCCTCATTAATAATTACAATCTTAAAACGTTCATTTTCTTGTTTACAGATCTCTTTTATACTGCCAAAAATTATCACCAAACTGTGTTTCAGTAATAATCAACATAATATTTACAAGCTATCTTTTGAATTGATCAAAGCATGGATGAGAATGTCGGACAAAATACAGTGTTGGTAATACTATTCAAAGTGCTTTACAAGCCATTTTTTGAGCATTAACTGGGTGAAATACCTTTGAAATATGCAAAATAGCAATGTCACACTACCACAACAGCCTCACTAACCGGCATGCTTATCACTGCAGTGATGATTGGTATTGAGTTTCCTCTTCGAAGAAGGAACACCTAAAAATCAAAACAGATTTTGGAGAATCGAGAAAAATTTTGGGGTCTGACAAGGAGAAAAACCGTCGCAATAGACTATAGATTAGACTAGAAACCAATCACTAAATGGAAACTGCTGCGATATTTTATTAAAATTACTCATTAAATGCTCAGTCAGTTTTGGGATGTAATCAAAATTAAAAGAATGGTAATTCTTTGCAACTGAATTGCCGACGAATTTTATCACCATATCAATTTCCTTTTATTCACACCAACAATTTCGGTAAATAGCAAGATACCATCTCTGTAACACCTGCTAGTTGAAATAGACAAATTTTACTCTCAAAATATTTCTCCGACAAAAAGCTTCCAGTTTTATTTTACCCATCAAACGAGGCAGATGTTGTCAGGGCAAGTAAAAACAGCAAGACCTTTAGAAATCAAAATCGTGGCGAGGATATCAATAGAGGAGAAAATTTTAGAAAGTCTATGTCCTCAGGCGTATGGACAAGACTTTAAAAAACATCCAAGTTTTGGAAAAGCTTCATCGCCTTGATATCGAAGCCTGAGATCTTAAAGAAAATTTTACAATCTGCCTTCGAAAATCCATAGTCTACGAATACATAGGTTGCAAAAGCTCAAATTGTGTCATGGGCCAAAATAGCCCGGATGAAAAGATGATGTGTTATAGTGTTTGGAAAATCGAACATTCAGCAAAGAATTCGTATCAAATAATGTGTAGTAGATGATTGGCACCCATGAGATCATTTCCTAAATACACCTGGTTTCGCTTCAAAATATACTACACATGTCACAAAGTATTCCCAAGTAAGCACGTGGTAAAAATTCATTGACTTTAAAAAAGGGAGTTAAGAATTGATCTGAGCTTAATGGAGATATTGAAGATACCACTGCAATATTCCGGGCATGACCACCCGAGGGGAAATGAGAAAATAGACAGTACAGGGTCCAATAACATTTTCTGAGCAAAAAATCATCGTATAAGGCGAATTTCAATTTTTAGACTTATAAATCAAAGTAAACAGGGTCCTTACCCGAATTTTGTCAGATATTCCCTTGTCGCTGATGCAGTCAACAAGAGTTTCAAGTGAGTAGCTTAGTCCAGGAATTAAGATTGGTATCTATAAGATAGAAGTGAACGTCTTTACACTGTGGCCGGTTTACAACAAACCAAACATTTGAAGACAGCAAGTAAACATAGTTTACCAAAGTAATTTTCGTCCGATACTGCTCCGGGTTTAAAAGTCTAAGGTAAGCAGAATTTTTTATTCAGGTCAGATCAAAGGTAACGTGAGAGGAAGGGGGTGCATTTGTTTGGTTCCGGGACTCCTATACGAGGTGAAAGGTTGAACACTAGCCTGCATATCTTACAGTATAGTTTGACAATATAAACTTTACGAGGAAAATAAGCGATTTCAAAATAACGACGTTTCGAGCGTAGACCGTTATCGTTTCTAGGGAGTAGATTGTGGCAGGCACTTCCCAATGACATGAAACAATCAGATACCCTCTCCAGCTTTAAAAGGAGAATAAAATCTTGGAAAGGAGAGCAACTGTAGACTGTGTAGACCTTTTGTGGCTCAGGTTGGGTTCTTGAAGGGATAAATGTATCTTATTGTAAATGCCAAAAATGCTGTGAAAACATTTTAAAATATGTAAATATGTATTTATACTTAATTTTTTCATTTTTAAACAATTTTACTTTGTAGTAGGCTTGAATTAGCTTTTATTTTGTGGCTATTTCTATACGCCTACTTTAAATAAATAGATAATAATAATAATAATAATTATAATGATAATAACAAGGCAAAGGTTAAAGGTTAGGGTGAAAGGTTAGCGGCTGCTGATTTGTGAAAACAAAGTCTCCACTAACTATACATTTTACAATGTACTTACAGTTGCATATGATACAGTGGAAGGTGAAATTTCCTGAATCCTCAAGATCAAAGTTCAAAGTGCCAATCCGAGTTATGGTTCAAGACAAGAACGAGCAGATGTCAATGCTCACCTGGATCATGGGTTTGGCCACAGCATAAAGCGTACTGTCGAAATGAAATGTGATAAGCAGATCTGTAGACGGAGTATCAGTTGATGTGTTTTCAATATTAATGGTCAGTTTGAAAGCTGGCCCTAATCCTTGAACCTAAAAAAAAACAACTTTGTTCGTACAGTAACAAATGAATGACGTCACGCAGATACATTGATTTAAATTTACGGTAGCCAATTCATCCTAATGGGGTATTTAATATAAACAACAAAATTTATCGAGTTTATTTATAGAAAAAAAATACGTGAAAGCAACACATGAAGGATTAATCTCTCTGGACATTCACAAGGTTTTTATCCAAAACATAAGAACTGAAATGGTGAAAATTAAAATGATTTATGCGGTTTTACTCGCAATTTATCGCCTGTCTAAAAATTTAGCTACAAAAAATCATACCATCAACTGTACAAATATTTGACGCCCATTACTTGAAAATATGAATTCTTAGTGAGCAAAGCTTTTCGTATTTGAAAGTACTTAAAATTACAGTATCACAATATTTAAAATCATGGCGATTGAATTTTGGATCCCAGCTCTCAGATTATTTAAAATAATATTCAATCGAAAGTTACTGGAACAGAGTCTGCTCGAAGTCAACGACCGTTTACCTTCAATAAATCAAATTTCCTGACAAAACGCTTTTCAATGTATTTGCCAAGTATAAGAAAAACACGTTGACTTAGAGGAACATTTTCAATAGTCAAGTGCGCTGATCACGTGACTAATAAGAGGAAAGACCGACACTTTCAGGGTTTTTTTCCTGAATAAATGTGATTTTTACCATTTTGACACAACCCGAACATCCTCATTGAGGTACATGATATTTGAACAATGAACACCCAAGCCCAGCCTCGCCCATCCTCACAAATACAGTCATTCAGCAATTTATCAATAGTTCCTACATGCTACCCCTTATAACCGCTGATACTTTCTTGGATGACCGGCAAATGGACACGAATTGGCAATCCTTCACACGAGCACCGAGATTTTTTAGCACTTTGCAAATCCAGCATTGTATCCCACTAGCCAGGAGTACCTCTCATTTTCCCACTTCAAATCAAATCTAAAGAAGATGGCTCAATGATTGCATTTTCATCCGAAAAATTCTGAGTAAATACTCGAATAAGAATGCAATCCTCATATAGCAATATAAAGAACGATTTAAGCTTACACGGCAGAGACATAATTTCTATCATATACCTGAGCTGACAGCTTTACTGGGTCTTGCAAAGATGTAGACAGTGGGTTCATTCTCGTCGAAATGGCATGTACATATGAGCGCGCAGTTTTCAGCTTTAATCGATAAAGGTCTTGTTGGAATACTCTGTGAATGGCTAGGGGAAGAAGAATCTTTTGAATAAAAGAATATGATGCGATATTAAAATTGAGGATTGATTTTACTTAGGTTGTTTTTCACAAATAATGAAGAAATATTATTTTACAGTTCTACTTTATTGTTATCTACACATAGGAACTGAGAGTTAAAACAAGTTATTTATCATATGCCCTGAAGTTTTCATAATTCGCTAATTTATGTGAAATCAGAACAAGCAATAGAACTGTACGAAAAAATTAAAACTAACAAGTAAAATAATCGAAAGATTACTCAACATCTACCATTTTTAAATATCCAGTGCATGCATAAAAAGAGGTTATTTTGAAAAAAGTCATCGGAAATCCTCATTAAAATGATACCTGGGGCACTCCCTCGTTCACGAAGGGCCTGATCCACGAATAACTTTGTTTTCTTGGGTACATTTAGCTTCTGGGAATGAGCCGTTGAAGTACCTTACAAAAAAAGATGTTTTAGTACATACAACATTAACTTAAAGAGGTCAAAAAAGGCCATGTTTGTCTGTTTTCAAATTTTATTTCACATAGAGTGAAAAAGTAGACCTATAAAATATTAAATAAAAGAAAAATATGCCAGTTTGATTTGGAGTAGAAAAGAGGACGAGACAGAAGAAGGAGACGATAAGGTATGATTATCTCAGTTTCGGCGACAAAATGAACAACATGAACGGCGAACAAAGTGCTATGCTCATATTAAGATTTACAAGCCGGCAGGAAGATGATTTGAATCATAGAACCGGAAAATTGAAGATGATTTGAATCATAGAAAAGCATCGAACTGATAAACCCGAGAGAAGCAAATACCAGGAAACAGTCGAAAAAACAGACGGCTTCTCGGGAGGTGCCGCTACTTCAAGGTTGCTAAAATACGGCATTCGGTAGAATTAGAAAGATTATGATTAAAAAAGGTACTTTTCAAGTCATTTTATCACCGGAAGAAGCTTCTCCAGCTGCGATCCTTAACGTAAGATCTTCTTGCACATTAAACATTCATTTACTAGGCAAAGAGCATTTGCTTTACGGTCGGAAGTTTGATCTTTAACATTTAAATTTCCAGCAATCAAATTGAACTTTGGATGCCGCTAAGAAAAATGACTTCAACGAGCGAAGTCTAGCTGTGAATGTCATACGTACAAATTTTCCTGTTTTGTGTAATTCCTTGAAACGGTTTCTTTCTGTAAAACTCTGACTTGATGTGACAAACCTTTCAAATTTGATTCTAATTGAGATTCCCATTAGGAGAACTCCTCTTTTTTTGTAAAAGAAGCCACTCCTCTTTGTTGCAATCAAAATCACATCAACGAGAATACAAGTCATACAAAGTTTCGCCTCCTTCTACCTATAGTCAAATGTCGTTTTAACTTGCGAATAAACCAAGGTAATGTTTAAATGCAGTTGGTATTAAAGAGTCCCCTTAGAAGGTCGAACAAAGGAAGCTCTTATGTTTCCGAGGATGCTTTAGGGTTTTGTTTGTCAACCTTTTTTGATCCATGAGACGACATTTTTCATTTAAAAAATTATGATGCACACCACGAACATAAAATGTTTAAAAATGAAACTCTGTGACCAGTATTCACAATATTAAGTTTTTTTCATCGAAGTGTCTTGAATACGGATCAAATAAACAAAAGAAATATTTGTGCTCATTCAGTGTGAGTTTATTCACTAAGAATTAGGTGAAATTGGACGGCGTATCAGACAATTTTATTCGTCACACTGCATGCCGCATAACTGATGTAGGGATCGGTTAAGAGAAGAGAGCTTATTAGTATAATTTGAGTTGAGCTAATGGGTATGCGATGGGTAGCAGGATGATGATTATGGTGGCAGGATAATGGTTTACAGAAACATTCTTAGGGTGTTCTTCATATCCAGTGTTTTGAGCGCCCGGGCGCTGCGACCAGATGAAAGTATACACAGCCAATAAAACTTCTGCGATCAATCTATTCGACCAATCGCCGGGTGTTCCAGGAGTAAGAACGAGTTCAACTCCTATTGCGAGCGCTTACGATCGCTATCGAAGAAACCAATTAAACAGCAAGAAATTGACCTCAAGTGCGATCAAATTTGCAACATGGCTGCCAGACGACTGCACACTCAAACTGCAAATTCCTTTTTCTACGACAGGGAGTCAAAGCCCTTCCATCAAAATTTACCACAGTCAACATTCTCACGAAGAGAACCAGCAGGTTCTGGACATGACTTTAATATACATGCTCTCAAAATCAACCAGAAGTTCACCAAATGATGCTGACTAAAGTCACCAAGATGGCTGCCTCAGAAGAAGAGGGGCAGCTCGTGGAGGCCATGCAGGCCAATCGATGCATTTCTATTTTCTATAAGCTAAGGAACAAACTGCGCGTTGAAATCAAATGGAGATTAATCAGGGAACGCGTGCGACACCACATGCTCAAAACACTGGATATGGAGAGCAGCATTTAAAGAGGGAAAGAAGAACTTATGAAATGTTTACAATTTCCATTGCATCTACTTCAAAGCTGTGTTCAAGTTATGGCAGTATAAACGATAATTTACATTTTTATAAGGTAAACTGACAATCAAACCTGCGCTGAGATCTTTTCCTTCAAAGTTTGCAGTTCGCTTTAGGATTTTAATCAGCAACCCACCACCTGAAACGAACAAACAATTAAAAACATGATATACCAGAATGCGTATTTGTTTACTGTACAAGCAATTTTTCGGAAAGATTTTTAAAAACAAATAACTCAAGCCAAACACCTTTTACTTCAGTGCATGACGTCATCAAAATCTACTTTAAGAATTTTTTTAATTTTAACCACGTAATCTGAAAGAGCAATAAACCCTTCTTGAGGTACAAAATCAGTCAAATATGTTCAAATTGTGTGAGATATAGAGATTGAAAGTTTGAAGTTCGCCAACAGATTACGGCTGTTCAGACTAAAGTTATGAAGCAAGACCGAATTACAGTGATTTGATGGAAAAAATGTGTGTTCCAGTAAATATATCACAGGAAATTTGCAATAAATTCAACTGATTTGGCATATTTAGATGTATTTCCTAATGCTCATTCAGGTTATTTAGTCCAAATTGAATGATCCTAGAAAGATTTTGTGACGTCATCAATTTGGGAGTCTATTAAAAAAGTATGCTTCATGAATTTATATTGCAAGTATTATGATGATTTTTGCTGAAAAATGGCACAACCAAATAAACAAAATAAAATGGAAGAGATATGAATAAACAAATAGACAAAGAATCAAACATAATGATATAAAAAATAAGAAGCTGAACATTCAGGGAAAAAAATGGCAAAATCAAAATGAATAAAATAGAATGAACGGGAATCAAATTAAACAAATAGATAAATAAATAAATAAATCAATCAAATAAAATCAAGTATATATATAAATAAAATGGACTGAGCATTCATGGAAAATAAAATGGCACAATCAAAAATAAAACAGAATAGAAGAAAAAAATAAAACAACTGAATAAATAAATAGATACATAAATAAATAAAAAACCAAATATAATAATATGAATTATAAAGGACTGAGCACTCAGGGAAAGAACACATTTCTGAGTATTCAAGTGCATGGCTAAACCTATGATCGACATTGTTTATCACAATAGCTTTTTAAGAAAAGGATTACGGGACACTGCATACCTTTAGTTGTCATTACTAGAGCGTTATCTTCTCTCCCGAATCGACCAAACTGGATTCCAACGATGACATCCTAGGACCAAAATTGAAACCTATAAACCTGAACACGATACATTGTAAAAACTAAGTAGGGTGAACAGTTAGAAATGATGCGAATTTTTGCGAATAGATTGAAATAAAAGAACTAGCATAAACAGAAAGGGAAAGCTGATGACAAAAGCCTGAAGCTGCAAACCATAAAATAATATACGTAAAGAGGTAGACCTGCGGAATTAGAAGGCCTGTTTAGTTTGCCAATTAAAATACTGAATCGATATCATTAGCTCAGAAGCAAACAGTTCGCTAAATTCTTGTACGCTAAATTCTTTGTAAGTGATTTCCTTAATGGGGAGAGGTCTTCGTTAAGACGCTTGCCTTATTTAAGGTTACGGTAAACGTTTTCTTGATGAAAACATCATTTTTTCGATTTTTTCACATTCAAGTAGCCGAACTTTCAAGGCACACAATGATACCAAATTTGAAACAAACAGAAATTTTGAAAGTGGAAAAAATCCCATGTAACCGAAGGTTTCCATAATTTCTTTATCAAAACTTTTAGTTGCGGCCTGAAAATCTCTTGACCTGTTAAGCCGATTATCGTTGCTTTGCGGTTGTGGTCGCATGTCTCATTTACAATATCGCATGGCACATCCATATATCCAATGTACGGCCGTGTTTATTTGAACAGGCTTATTGATCTTAAATCTTCAAGTGACTTGACCCGGATTACACTGTGGTTTACGAGTGTATCTTGCAAGTGCGATCAGTAAAATCCCGTTTTCTCCGGACTCGAAATTCCTCTACATGCAGGTACGAAAAAGCTATTATGTACCCAAGGAACCAATCGAATGGCTTGAAAATTTGCACACGGCCAGGGCAGACGTTGGGCAAACAAAGTGTGTCTCAAAATTTTTTTATTTTCTCTGGTCCGTCTTTTATACCCAAATACAGCTGCGGGAGGGTGGAAAAATTATTTGCCAATTTTTGACAGGGTATAGTTTCATAAAGAGGAGGAATTTAAAAAATCTGAGACACACTTTGGTAGCTTAGGACCTGCACTTCCTGCTGGTCTAAGTCAGATTTTGTTACCTCAAACGCAAGGGTACATAATAGCTTTTGAAGGTGGTACACTTTTTGACCAGTAAATTCGCATGGAAAATAACATTTAACATTATTTGCCAATAATTTTTATCTGGCTAGATACGCCATAATCTTGTGCATCGAATGATATATAGTTTATCCAGATTTCTTGAGCCGTTTGGCCTTTAGGAAAGAAAAACCAATTTTCGTGTTCAAAACGTTTACCGTAACCTTAAAGGAGAAGCTTGGTGGGCTGCCCACTTTCTGTAATCAGAAAAGAATTACGAACCTCGGCCGTAAACATGTTAACCAGATATTTATCTTTGTAAATTCTAACTTCGCCATTCTGAAGAGCAACCATGACTTTCGAAAGAGAAAAAACAATATCAGAGAGTATACATAAAACAGAAATATTTAAACAAATACCTACATCTTTTCAATTGACTTATTAAGCATTTTCTATATTTCATACTTTGAATAATTGTTAAAATAAAGTTCTAAGATGGAATGCCATAAGAAAAACAGCTTTGGTTGATAATGGGGATTGACCGACAGCATTGGCAGCATTGTTTCATCACTTCAAAAAAGTGTCTGCCAATCAAACAACACTTGATTATGAAGTTCAAAGAACCGTGTATATCCTATCCTACGGTTTCATCTTTGCAGAAGTATGAGTTAGTTGTCTCACAATAAAAACAGAGCTGCTTTATTTTCCATGTTCCTGTTGTGCCGTTTCGCACATTGTGTTGCTGTTATACGATTTTTGTAAAAACATGTGAAAAAGTAAACAGTTTCTTATCACTCACAGCATCTGACTGCGTACAAAAGAAACTGCGAAAAACATCCTATTGAAAAGTCTATGACATTAAATTGCAGCTCAACATCAAAACTGGATGAGTTCTCATATCCTCGCACAAACTTTTATTCACTGTTGTTCCCTGCTGACAGATTTAAAAGGCCTTTTCCTAAGTTAAGCCATTCTAAATTTTTAATTTGCTCTTTCTTTTCTAACAATATTTGAACCTGACAGATAAATTCGTAAACAGAAAAGATTTGAACTTTTGGGTCCGATCACTTCTCTTTTATCTTGCCCAAGAAAAGAGCCGTGCAAAGAGCACGGCATTTTTGGAATGCTTAAAGAATCCTATGAAGACGAGGTCTTAAAAAGTCACATAAAAAACAAAATGAAAACATAAGTGTTTACGTGGTAACACAATGGCGTTTATGACAATATCGCAAAGCATTCGTTCAGATAAATCCTCAAATGAATAAAATCAGGAACTATGAAAATTTGCTGCACTCTCGAGCAAATTTAACGTTAGATTTGAACAAAAAATTTCACCTGCTTTTAACCCCCGCGCTTTGTGATTCAGTTGTGACATTGTGGTGATTGGATGGGGAAGGTAAGCAGTCCAAAGTTTCTTTCCCTTCAACAAAGTAACAATTATTCAATAAGGTAATAAGAAAAGTATAACAATAAAGGTATAGGGCAAAGTGACAATTTTCTTTAAAGATTTTGTAAGGCTGTGTGTGGTAATCAATTTGTTAAGAAAGAGAACCAGATTACACAGTTTTGAACATGCTTAGTACTAAGTTTTGGTGGCCTTACTTATAGGTGTGAGTTTCATGAAGTTCTTTTGGCTACCAAGAAAACTTTTGCGAAAATACTCGATATATATGACTATTCATAGCCTTGTAAACCATGCCTGATGAAATATTTCCATGAATCGCCTCTCTCGCCAATTTTTGTTATTTTGATTGTCTTAAAAGATACTTTCTGCTGCATTTAGCAGGATGAAGCCATTTGTTTGTAAAATTCCAATTATTCATCAAGTTTAACGCTTAAAAGTTGTCCCATTTCCCAGAGAAAAAGCGAACAATGACAAATACACCGCTAGATCCCAACTTTTGGCTCCAATTCGCCTTGAATTTCTTGATAGATAAAAAATTATTACACATTCAAAGGGCCAAAAAGCAACCTAGGCTCCTCAATCTATAAAATGAACTGTTTAAGTTCAAATGATAACAGGAAATTCTTTCCATAGTTACTCATTTCTATTGCACGAAAAACCCTAGACGGCATTGCATTAACTCCAAGGTACTTTGAGTCTTTTTGCTGTGAGATTGGATTATTGGAAATCTTAAAATCAACCTTTATTGGTTCACCTTTTGTATCTCTAAACAAAATGCTTTCAGAGCTCTTGTCATAAGCGTTGATTTCGCTACAATGCATATGAAAAAACTCATACCTTGGAGTTAATACAATGCATATGAAAAAGCAACATTAAAACATATTTTGAGCGTGAAAACGTATATCAAAACATGGAAGATTGAAAATAAGCAATAATGCTAACTACAAGCTGAAATACATTCCAATCTGAATACCTTTGTACTATAACAGGCGAGGGTCTGATCCATGCAGCCAACAATTATGGTCTTGGCGATCCTCTCCAGTCCAACAACTTGAGAATTCAGCTCAATAATAACTTTGCCACTACGCGAGCCACTGCAAATTGAAGAGACATTTTAGAATACATATCACATATAATATATAAGGGCATTGATATATTGATTGTTCAGGGCAACCAGTTTCGATATTTTTGAGCTTCTATATGCCGTGTCCCAGCTGTATCATGCCATGTTTACGTAATGACTTGATGGCTAACAACTAAACCAGATAACTTTTACCGGCCTAAGTTACAAGGAAAATGGAAAAAAGTGTTCTAAAAAGTAATTTTAACAAGTTAGCTTTACTATGAAATCTTAAATCTGAAAATAACCAGCAACTTCAAGCAACAAAAACAGTCTTTTTCAAATTTATTTCCCTAGGTGAAATTCTTTTGGAAATAGAATTACAAGCAACGGATACTTCGACAACCGAAACCGGTATTGGCTCCACCAGTGTATGCTATATTGATATTCCACATTTCATTGTAGGCATTACGTAGGTACTTTTTCTCAGGACTTACCTTTTCAGATTGTAAATTTTTGCGTCACGACAGGCCACAACAATGCGAAACTCGACGTCGTACAGGCCAGAAACAGACATGAACGAAGGAATGCTGGGAAGGCTCATCTGATCACAAAATGGAGAGAAGGAAGAATTACTACCAAGTAATTGATATTGATACTGATACTGATAATGATATTGATATTGAGTATTACTATCAATATTACTCAGTAATAAAGTAAGAGTGATATAGAGAAGTAGAGTAATCTAAATCTTATTACAATTCGCATTCGCATTTGCATTGAGCCATTTACAATACTTTGATCCTGATTTTCAAAATCCTGATAAAAAATCAAGACTTTGATAATGTTTGAACTATGGTTCAGTTTGATAGAATTTGAAAGCTCTAGCGATATACAGACAATTATAAAGTCCCCTGTCATCTTTAAACGCACTATGTCCCATCAATCAACCGTTCAAGGCTAATCATAGGCTTTATAGCGCGTTTATGATTGCATTTATGAAAACATTGAGAAATTAGCATTACGTTGCCGATTGGATACGTAACAAAGGGTATATTGCGTGGTCCAAGCAATTGGAAATTTAACCAGCGAAATGCGTCGGGACATAGTGCTTTTAAACGTAGCATGCGATGTAGACTATTTGGAGGGAGAGTGAATATACGCTGCGGGTTACTAAGGACGCTGCTTGTAATTGAACCTACGTCATCGAAGAAGAGTTTTCAGTAATGATTACAAAGCACATTCAAGACCTGGAGAAGAATGACATAATTAAACTGAGTCAGAAAACATACCTTTGCAAGAACAGTAAATGCCTCGGGATCCAGAACATAAACCTCCTTGCTTTCGGTGCCAATCACCAAGCAACTAATGCTATCCTCATCGGGAACGCTTTTTTTGATGGTTGTCATACAGGTTATGACAGTCTATTGTAATATAAAAACAAAAATTATTAGGTATATTTAAAGACCCTGTTTACACGAAACCTGGACCAGATCGCAACAGGGCGTTTCCAAAGGAACGGGTGCAGATGAGATCCATAGGTTAAACGCATGCGTTCTAATTATCAACCAACAAAAGCTACACATAATTTTGTATTAAAAATATTTTTACCTGTTCGATGAAAATTAAAATGACGTCATTAGAGGTTTCATCCAAAACTATCGCTAAGAGATACTTCAAATTAGATTTCAAACTTAGTGCAGAAGTACAGTTTCTGAAATTAACTTAGGAGCTGAACAGATAAAAAGGAAGGGATTGGATGACCCCAAAGAAAAATGAAAAACTATGAACAGCGATGGAATCAAGTTGCTGACCAAATTTTCTTACCTGTCTTCGTAAATTGCCAAACTGATGAACTTCAGCGAATTCCGCAGCATCTTCTTCATTGAGCTGTAAAAATCTAGTCGACACAGAAAACTTAAATTAGTTACTGCCATGCACATGACATATATTCTTAGATTTTTGCTGACTGTGCAACCATGATAACAAAATTCGTGTACCGAATTTATGCGTAAATAAGCCGCCCTCGTATATAAGTGGCAGCTTATCGGTTTCATAAAAATTTTAGCCTCCTTTGATGATGAGCCGCACCCTCTAAACCATGCAGAACTACTTGGCTTGAAATGACGGGAACAAAAACTAATAGAAACCTGGTTGTGTACTTTAACAAAAAATAGAAACTACGTAGTTCAAACAACAACGAAATAGTCCAGTCGGAGATCATCAATTGCGTCTAAAAGTATTTCTTCCTCATCCTCTACATTATCACCCTCAGGTAGCAGGAAAGCAGGAAGCAGGAAAGCTTTGCATTATCTGAACAAAAAAGTGTAAGCCACCCTCTTTCACAAGCCGACCTCGATTTTAAGTCATAGCAAAACGGGACAAAGAATAATTATAAGCCGCGGCTCATAATTGAAAAACTAAGGCAAGTAGCTATCTCCACAAATAGTTGTATATTCGATTACCCTGGATACTAGCACACGTGCTCTTAACCAAAATTCAGCCAATTTTGGATTCTTTTGGAGTCGGAATTTTGCACAATTAGTTGTACATGTCACTACTTGCTATGCTATGCTATTATGTGAACCGCCAAGTGCTCTGAAGTGGGCGGCTTAAAATGGAGATGATAAATTCTTGAGAAAATGCAAAGCAAGAAAAAATACGGTTGTAAGGAAAAAATAACTTTAAAAAAATAAAGATTTAGCATTTACTCGTGTTGATTATTATTGGTTATGTTTAGGTCTTGAACAACGTATAAGTAGAAAAAATATTAAGCACCAAATTTATTCCATCGGTAGTTTGCTTTGGTTTATGGAACAAAAGTGTTCTAAATAGAGGTTCTATAGTTCTGCAGTGGAGCCTCCATACATCGGACACCGTTTGAACCATTGTAATTGTCCAACGAGGTGTCCGTTGTACAGAGGTTCCTTTAAGGCGTTTTGAATATTTGGGATAAATATATCTGTCTGCTGTTGAGGGTTGTCCGTTGTATAGAGGTGTCCGTTAATGGAGGTTCCACTGTATCAACGCACATGTTGCTTCAAACTTAATAAACAAAACAAATAAATAAATCAAATAAATTGCACTGGTACCTTAAAGACCTCACTGTTAAAGAAGAAGATCCATTTGCATCCCTAAAAATAAACCAAATTGCAAACTGAGAAAACAGATAAAGCCACCAGTAAATCGCCACAATACAGTTTGACCAGCTTTGCAAAGTTGAATTGATTTTGAATTTAAAATACTAAATTAAAAATTCAAGAGGTATAGAGATATCCACGACAAGTATTTTGACTATCTGTTCCATCCATCGTTTTTTACCAGCTAGCATCTTCCATTAAAACATGCAATGCTCAAGAAGAATCTTGGATTATAAAAATTTAGGCTAGAGGACTAAATGGATTGTCCACTTGCATATCTTCATAAATTCTGCTTTGCCAAAGTCTTAATCAAAAAATTATTATGTCAAATTTAACTCTTTAGAAAAAATAATATTTTTACAATCACTCAAGTATCATTTTCCAACGTTCGTAACAGAAACAAATTTCGATACTGTGTTGACGTTTTGCGAGGCTACCTGGACAAAGATAATGGGGGGAACAATAAGAATGAAAAATCGATACAACACAGGTCATTCCGCTGAATAAAACGTAGAATGAAAGCACATATGAAATAACATTGATTGAAGAATTCATATCTAAAAATATGTAAAAAATATTGCAACACAAAGTCTAACCTTATAGACAGCAGCATTTCCCGTAATGTAGCTATATCCATTTTATTCTAAAACAAGACACTTTACTTTTACAGTTTCAGTTTCAGTTGCATGTATTTCAAATTCACTACACACAATTTATATATCATTAACTATACTAACAAGTAACTAAACTACAATGAAAAATATTACAGAAAATAAATACATTGATACGGAAAATTAATACAATATACAATACATAGGACTGGGATAAATTGTATGGAGCGAATTACTTTACAAATTTTATTCAAATGCACAAATAAAATCTACAAAAATTAAATGTATGGAAATTTAAAAATTTTTTTGAAAGATGTTAGAAATTTTCGAAGTATCCTTGAATACATATTGTTGTTGCTAAAACGTTTGCTTTGATCAAAGGTAAATACTTCGAAGGGTAATATTTTTCCTTGAGTTGCAAGCCGATGGAAGGTCCCTTTCAAATTTTGAAAAGAATGTTTAATGATTTAATTTTTTATTTTTTCAATCATTCAATAATAAAATGAGTCTCGCTTCTCAAATATTTGCTATCATGAAGCTAAAATGATTGCTTAATGAGTAGTCCCTCTGGAACTTAGAATAAAAAAGAAAGGATTAATAAAAAGATAAGGTTGTCACATAATAGGTCAGCAAAAATACCTCTTTTGCTTGATTCCATAAATCATATTCGATAGGATTTACCTGAAATGCAACCAAAAAGAACCCGTTAGCCTTTTACAATCTATGTTAAAAAACATCAACAACCTTAGTAAACGTACCATTTTTATTCTAACAAACTGCAAAGTGGCACCTAGCGACATATTTGGGAAGCGAACCAATGCTAAATTATATCTGATATTGAGACATAAAACTGCTCAAAACTCTCCTTGGAAAAGCACTAGTCCTACTTTGAAAAGGTAGGAATGACAGTCTGTGACAGTTCAACTATTTCTCCAAGCTCTGTCAAGTTTCAATTTTTAGAACTTTAATCGTTCTAAATTAGAAATTTATCACTGATAAACATTTACTTAAAAACTTTTGTCAATGACGAGAGTGAACAGCTTGAAATATTTGGTCATGCCAAGTGTCAATAACAGATACCTGACTCTAAACTGGAAATTCATTTTTGGGTTGATTTCAGGTTGTTTGATAGCTGAATATTGACAAAAGATTATTGTTTTAGCTTGTTTCGCTTATGATGCAGATGAAAATATTATCCTATATTTTCAGTTTATCTATCAAACATCTCACTGGTCCCAACTGCGAATTCATTTTCAGGTTAGTTTCCTGTTTGGTGCTGGTAGAAAACTATCGTTTGTGTTCGTTTTAACTGAGTGAACCTGATATCATCCCTAGCTGGTGCTTTCATAATGGGTGACAACAGGAAATCTCTACTGGATTGACCCAGGCTTCAACTAGCCAGCAGGTTACTGGTGACAGATTAAAGATACATTTGAAAACAAGAAAGCTTTTCAAGGTCTAGTTATATTCAACCTTCACTGTCTGCAACAGATAAACTTTGCAAGATGCGTCATTACTTCCTACTGATGGTGATGTAGTAGATTATTTTACTTCGCACATTGATCATATAATAATTGGAAACATTATAACTTAGTTATACAATGGTTTACTATCAACAAACGAATTGGTGATGCTTACATCGAGTGGTGGCAAAGTAAATTTGAAATACGGTCTAAGGTTCTTGTACACATAAATGTAAGGTCCTGATGCAACAGCTACGGCTGTAAAGCAAGAATAGAGTTAGAAAAACAATAAAAAACAAATTAATAATTGGATATTGAGTAACAAAATTTTCAAATAAACTGCAGAAAATGTTATGCGAAAGAACGAAATTTGTGAACAAATGTCTTAAAGCTCTGTTCTCTATGATATTTTATCATGATTACATGATGGTAAGGTAACAACTTACGTTGATTTAACCTTAGATAACTAATAATGACATTTTTGACAACAGGATGAGAAACCTAAGGATAGAGAAACAATCTTACTTCCCTACGTGAGACAATTTCAAATGCTTTTCCAAACACATTGAAAAAAGAACAGCTAAATAAGATAAATTTATTGGCAGTTTAGTGGCAAAGTGTGAATTACCTGGTGTTTTTGGCTCGTTCATATCCATGTGGAAAGTACAGACAGATGTTGGAAGATCAATAATAGTACTCTCTGTCACCAGGGAAGTACCTGCAAACGACGAAAGGAAACCAAAATTATATTTTTTTGGAAACAAAAATGATTTAAGCTTAGATGCATATAAACATTATTCGTCTGTAGTGAATATAAGAAAACGTTTTTCTTTAAAGAAGATTTTAAAAACCAATGAAAGCCAGACAGTCCAATTCATACTCAACTTAGTGTCAAAATAAATGCATTTTATCAATAATTCTTTCTACTAAACTGTGAACATTTCGGACCATAAATGTAAACAGCTTCACACTGATTAATTTTGTTATTTGAAAATTCTACACATTTTCATATCTTCAAGTTACCTCTATAAAACATCTGTTTGTAAGTTTTGATCTATCTAATTTGACATGAGATAAAATACAATTCTAGAAGAACTTTTTTGAATATTATTGAAGAGCATTATCCCTATTTGTAGAAAAAAATTTGATGTCATAAAAGCATGTCTGACACACTAAAAATAATTTTATGGAATGTATTTAGTAGAAAGCTTTGGCTTTCAAGATTTATTTTCTTGCTACCTTGTATTCAGGCAACATCCTTTTAATACAACTGTAAACAAATGTAACATAAAAATTTGCCATTCCTGGGTAGTCATTCAATCAAAAGTAAACATTTTTATTAATATTTGCAAACAGGAAATCATATTGATTCTGTTTGACAAAGTGATTTCCCAAACTTACCCTTAAAAACTTTCAGCTTCATATTAGAAGCACCAGTACCCAAATCTGCTACAATTAGCTAAAATGAACAAAATATAATTTAGCATTGAAATAGTTTTAAGCAACATATCAGTTTCAATATAATTTTTGGAAATATTTTGAATCAATAACAACAAAGAATAATAGGTAGTTTATTAAAAAAGTTCTCCCTTTAGTCTTGCTCTACATGGAGAAAACCGCTAAAGACAAAACAGAAAGCACAAGTTTCCCAAACTGCCGTTCAAAATGAGACCTTTCTTTTCGAAAATTATTTTGAATATAAATCATAGGAGGACGCCAATTTATTGCAGGCAAATTGAGCATGTAGGAAGAGCAGTTGAAAGTTATAGCTGGCTAGATGTGAAGCTTTTGTCAATAACCATGTTGTTTTGTGTGATTTTCAGGCCATACTGTAAAACAAGATCCTTTTCAAGAACTTTTTATATAAAGAAACATCAATCTTTAAAGCTATACCTGGCAAATTACACATACTCTGCCAAAAAATGTTATACACCACCAAACATTAGGAACCAATTTAATTGAATACCAAAACCTGGTTATTTTAATTTTTCACGATTCTTTACCCTTACTTAGTCTTCACAGGTAGTCCCCTCACTAAAGCAATCACAAGTAGTAGCATAAAGCCAATGCTTGAAATCATATTTCAGCAGTATATGCCCAGATAAAGCAGCATATGCCAAGGGCATTATAGAGATTCTATGGTTACAGTTCATTTAACCATGAATGAGAGAACATTACAACAGAAAGATAACAATGTCAGCTAGCTAGATGTATAGATCCATTGCTATATAGAAAAAAAAGGCTGCAAAACTGTTTTGCTTTAGCAAAGCAAATAGAAAATCATAACATTTTGGCAATATAATTAACAGAATAAATATTGATGTTTAGTTTATTAAAAACTATCCTGTAGGTAGTGTGCATCTATGTGGAAGAATTGTTTACTGGTGAAATGTGCTGATAAATTTGTACCTTGTGTTCTCCATCAGCATTCAGATCAGCTAAGGCTGCAAGAGAACACAAGAAATCAGGTATATGCGATGAATAATTTTCTTCCAGAAAATTGTTAATATTCTATTGGTTCTCAGTTCCATAGTAAAAATGATAAAGGTGATAAATAAATACATGAATTTTACTGATTGAGCAAACATAACAATATTAAATTAATTTTACTTTAATCAAACAGTTGATTAAAAAATTTCCATACCCTCAAACTATATGAGATAAGCTCAAAAAACACGAGACTAAAGAAAACCAAAACAAATAGTAATGAGCAACAGAACCAATGGAAAAACAAATGTCACTGAAATTTTAAAACATTATTCTGTCTAGACAAAGTATGCAATCATACATTATAAACTAACTGTAAATCTTTTCGTTTAAAAACTTTTAATGATTGGAAATGGTTTATTATAGAGATACAGACATAGATACATCAGACTCCCTTTCAATGACATGTTTCAATTTTAGCAGTAAGAAAAACACAGGAACTACTGAACTTACCAGAAAATCTAAACAAAAAAAAGAAAATGAAAAAGTTCTTAATTAAAATGACCCTAATCATGATGTTAAGGTGACTATTATAGTTTTTTCATTAATGAAAATTCTACTAATGAATGAGAAGTGATCATATCATTTCTTAAAAGTTTCAAGTGCTCAAATAATCGAATTGATGCAAATGAGATGAAAATTGTATAACATACCATCACCCCTGTTTATGTTTCGGCCCTAAAGATATGCTAAATCTTAAAATACTTTCAAGTTTTATAGCAGACTTGTCACATGAAAACTAACTTTAAAAAAGAATATACCTGTACATGATGTGAATGTGTAGATTGATGCAACTGGGTTGTAATGAGCATTTAACCAAACAGAACTGCCTTCAGAGTAACTGTAAAATTAACAAGGATGATTGATAAAACAACATGCAAAATGTACATGGACACCAATAAAAAATCATAAAAAATACAGAAAAATACTAATATAGAAAAAATACTGAGCAAAATTTCAAAATATATTTAGTTTTCCCCTGGGTATGGTGTGGATCCTGTATATTCTAATACATAACCATGCAAAATTACGAACTTGGTTGCACATTATGAAATACATAACCCTGTTATAAGCTGAAGAATGCAAGTGCTGGAGACATTATAATCTGCAAAATAATGGTCAAGGTAATGTTGATAGAAACAAATTCTTCTCGCTCTACTAGTGCCCACACTCATGCAAAAAGAAGAACAACTCAAATCATAGCAGAAGGTGAAATACCAACAGAAGGTCCATTAGGCACCCTTTCAGAACTGAACTACGTGCAAATTTCGTGGAATGACCTACTCAACAACGTTAAGAATTCTGTGAACAGTTTCAAAAATGCATATGACAAACACACAAATTCACCATAATTCAACACATCCTTCAAAGTTATCACATTTCGCACAATATATTCAAAATTGTATTGTTCTTGCCAATAATCATTTATATTTTATATAGGTCAAGGCTGACCAACTGTGGCACCTTTATGGCCAATGGCCAACTGCAAACAGTCCCAGTCCCCTGCTCTCCAGAGCAGTCCAGACATTGACATTCCCACAGTTTCCTAGATGTCATTTTCCAGCTTCAAATGCAGTCTCTTTCTTCTATGTGTCCCTCTTACCATGCCTTGAATTTTTTTGGGTCTATTGCTAACTTTTAATGAAAGACAGCTTCCATCTGTTTATGGCATTCATTTGAGTAGATTTGCCTACTTCCTGCAGAACCATTTTTTTGTTATTCTCTCTCTAGGCATGGCATGAAAAATGTGAGCGATTGATTGCAGGCATGAGTTGTATATTTGACTGTCATTTTTGACCTGAATAAAATTGTTTTCTTCAACAAATATTGGAAGCTTTGTTTTTCATCTGCTAATTCTTTAAATATTGCCTATTTTGTTCCCTATTGTGGCTAATCGCTCTGCATTTTTCAAATTTTCCCGGAATCAAGAAAGGAAGACAGGCTTTTTTGTTAATGATGCAACAGGCAGGCAACAAATAGACCCGCAAAAAGAAGATTTTCCAACAATAAAGGTTAATATCAATCCAGTGGTGTAGATAGGAAAATTCTTACGTTTTCAAACTTTTGTACATAACTTCACGTAAGTCACATGTCATAAATCATACTACTCGAAGGTTCTTCTTGTCTTTTGGCTTTTTTCAGTTCTGTACCTTATTGAAAGAGATTACCAATTTGATTCAGAACAACAGAAGAGATCACCATATTCATCTTTAAAATATTTTCTCTCAAAATGTAACATTTGGATTAAAATAGACAACCATGTAAATTTCTGATCAGATCAGAAGTTTTCCAACAAAATAGCAGGGGCCTGATTCTCTGCTTTTGTCCCAGGGCCTCCAAATTCTTTTGGCGGTCCTGTGTGCAAGTTTAGAACCGTGAAACGGTCAAAGTTCGCCCTTTCATATACATTAGCACTTTGGAAAGTAGATAGTTTTGCTCTGCCATCCGGTTTTGACCCTGCTATGAAAGAGAACAAATTTTGTACTGTTGTGGTTCCGTTTTTGAACAGGACTGTCTAAACGGTGTCTGAAATAGCTGATATTTAAGAATGTGAATCACAAGCATGAAACAAATAATGCGTGTGGTTTACCACATGCATGGTGATTTTCTTTTGACGAAGACCGATAGTATTCTAAATTTCTTTGTAGAATTGTAGCATAGTGGAACAGTCTTAATGACATTTTCTGATTTTCAATCTTTTTCTGATCTCTTTGCTATAATTCCAGTCATGTGTAAATGTTGCACAAATATATAGTAAACTTTTCAACTATTTCAATTACCTCACCATTTACAATGTCCTGGTTGTGACATCTAACATTGACCCGGGGATCTCTTAAGCCAAAGAGTGCACCTCACTAGCTTTTCTTGACAGGGTTATGGTAAAACTATTGGCAGCAAGATGGTGGATTGTTGAGATGTCTCACAGAAGTTCAGTATAACCATACAAATAGCTGAGACCTACACCTCAATTAGCGATCAATCAGTTGTGGAAAGAGACTTCTACCTCTCCTACCTCAGACCTTGTCTATACACACCATCTCTGTAAAGCTAATCTACAGAATTGGCTGTGAATTGCACTTTATCATGTACATGCATGGACTACCAGGAGCAAGATTTTTCACACCTAAATAAGCTTGCTTTTTCAACAAAATGGTCCTCTGAGAATACTTAAACTATTTTACTCAAGCGAAGAAAATTTTGTCAAATGGAGATGAGGTTAAAAAGCATGTTGTAATTTACAACCCGCAAGAATCTTTGGGACTTTAAGGTAAAAATTCTAAATTTTGTTTCTCTAATGTTGATGTTCCAACAGTTTAAATCCCAAAAAACTTTAAATTGAAATTATATCAATCCCTACTTTGCAAAGCCTATGCTGTAAAATGTTTGCTTTTTCAAAGGCATTATCAAATTTTATGCCACCAAAATTCTTAACTAATGAAATAGCTATCTTATATATCAGACCTCTGTCTTATTTCTTGTTTATCAATATTTCATTTGGTATGTTGATCACATACAAAAATTGTACTGGCACTGTTACTGGCATATATTCAAGGTGAGACACGGTGGACCAGACTGTTGTAGACAATAGACTCTTTATCTGGCTAAATCTTTATTTTTATCTAGATAAATGCATATTCTTTATCTGGATATTTCGCTTCAGAAAAACTTATAATCATATAATGGTGCTTAGGCCTATATGTTGTTAAGCTTGGAATTTTCATCGAGATCTCGGAAAAAACAGAAAGTTATGAATTTTGCTTCTCGTAGTTTTAACTGACATAATTTTTCTTTCGTGTATGCCACTTAGATGAGAATATGCGCTCGAAATTTGAATGCAACTTTAGCAAATACTGTGTATGTGGCCAGCACCCGACCCGCGCCATTTGAATTACAAAACAAAACACCTGATTTGAAAAGCTAAAAAGTACCGGTATTCATACCTGTTTCCTGTTTCGTTTTCATCACTCTTTGCCTTTCGTGGGCTTGATAATGAACCTTCCACCGCAGTCATTCTTCTCTTCAAGTTGTCCAAGATTTTCTATAATGAATTTGATGATGGAAGCCTGCCTGACAACAACAACATAGATACACCTCGAAATACTTCGTGCATCAATCACGAACCTACTGATGTCATCCAACAATTGTGTACTCATCCAACCTACCATTTCTATTCATCCAATCAACCAAAAGGCAAGAAAAACCGGAGACTTTCTAAAATCTGCGGAATGTTCCATCATCAGGTCGCAAATAGTCTGGATCTGCTAATCCCAATGAGACCAAATTCGAAGTTTGTGTAGTAGATGAGCGCAGTGCAGTGGCGGAAGTTTTTGCGGGCTCTTCTGGGTTATCGTCTCCCGCCGGGCGAACTAAAACCCGTTACATCAGCGTTCTCGTCGGATAATTCACAAAAGCAGGGACGGATTTAGCGGGGGTATGGGGGTGCGACACCCCCCCCCCAATATTTATGTGTCTTTTGGTAAACATTCATCTTCTGGAACTTGGATCTTGGATTTTAAAGTTAATTTAGCTGACAAATGCAATAAAAATTGAGGTCAAGTCTTTGGCTGATTTTTAAAGAATTTGTATTAATTTTTGATGACGTCATGAAAAACAAGCAACTTCCGGTGTAAATTTTTTTGGCGAATCTTGGATTTGAAATCTCCATGGTCGATTTAAATGATATGCGAAATAAAATTTGAGGTTATGTAGCTTGCTAGTTTTTTCTACAAAATTCCCTGTCTAGTTTGAAACAAAGAATTAATGAATGATTAAAGTATGATTTTCTTTTGGGCAAATTACAGTTATATACATGTAGTTTTATACGCAGAATCATACGGCAGGACACGAAAGTACCCTGACAAGTATGAACAATGATTGGATAGAAGCACATTTCATTAGAAGCTTGTGTAAGGCTTGAGAGTTGATTTAAATGATAGCTTTATAAGATCAAAACTTCGTAGAAAAACAATAGAATTTTTGGTTTTTTGGCCTCAAGGATTTCAATCGCGCGACATAAAAGTCTGATAGAGAAAGAATTGTTTTGTTTTATATTGAGTTTAAACCTTTACAATGTGGTTTCTCAGGGATGGCAGGAATGTGCATCTCTGAATGACCAAAAGTAAATTCAAGCAAATATTTTGAAAGCTTCTTTCATCACTTTACACTATATGTTTTTTTATCTATTCTAACATTGATATGAAATAGGAAAAGCTTTCCAAAATTTTAGAATGACCATTTTAGTGGAGCGAGAAGAAGCAAAATTGTTTTACATTAAATAAGGAGCCAAATTCTCAGGGGGAGGGGGGAGCTTAATACGTTTCAATACTTAGGGGTACCTGAAAAGGTACGGGGACGTGTCAATACTAAGAAGTACCTGAAAAGTGCAGAATTATCGGAATCGGTTTTTGAAATATGTGCGGAAAAATGGGTACCGTTTTGGGAAAATATTGTAAAATTATCAGAAGGGAAATTTAGCATTAACCAAGCAAAGGTCCAATTAGAATTAAAAGCATGAAACATGTGTAATGTTCAGATTTTGGGACAAAGGACATACAAAATTTGTTTGATTATTTGCTTCTTTCTTGAAAAATGTTCTTTGACTTGCGGAATTATGGGTCCAAATTTGTTTAACCAAAATGGAACGTCCCATTCAGGGCCGTAAATCACGGGGGGGGACGGGGGGGACTGGACCCCCCCCCAAAATCTGGAGCAAAACGATTTTTTTGGAGAAATTACCATCATTTTCCTTGAAAGAAAGAAATCCCTGGTAGCCGGGTTAGAACCAAACTACGTTTTTCTGTGTTATTGCAACAAACCTCAGCCACTAAGGTTATTTTTGTAAGCAGAGTGGTTTTTAGAATTTTTACAAGATAGAAACTTTCCGTTTTCTACCGTTTTTTTCCGTTTTGTACCGTTTTATTTTTGAAAACAAAGTATGAAATAAAAAGAGAGCAATCTGTCATTTTATTTGACCTATTTACTAACTTATTTACGTACATTTCTATTATTTTTCTATTATTTGCTTTTATTTAGTGAATCACTTTTTGTATCATTAAAATGTATTCATTTTTTATGTGTAAAGATGGCCTACTGAAAGCACTCAAAATAAGAAGACGCACATTTCTGTTCAGAAAGTAAATTTCTACCAATCAATACAACAGCGTCCCATATTTCCCCAAAGTCTGTAACTAAGGTTTAAGCACGACTCTTCCCCTCCACAATTTCACCCAATAAACAATAATCTGTGTTCTTCTGAGAAACGCCGAACTTTTTATCCTGAGCGATTCTAGTATTTTGTTAAATTTAGTCTGAGGGATGCTTTTTTAGCCTTTCTAGAAGGTAAAATTTCAAAAATTTTCCTCCGCGTCGGACCCAACCATGGTGGGTCCTCCTGCGACAGTAAACTTGATTCTTAGCATCCAAGGTTGAATTTCTTGGGGCCGTCTCTGAAAAATGTTATCCATACAATTATCAACACAAGTCAATGTACTAAGGAATATCTATAAATACCTTCTAAAGAGCAGAAAGTCTTGAGAAGTCCAAAAATATTGACTTTTGTTTTTAAAGTAATTTGCCCCTCGACTGTTTCCATAACACACCCTTGTGGTGCCATGCCCACTGCATACTTTATATTCATTCGCTCTGCTGACCCCCCCAATTCACATGACAGATTTACGGCCCTGGTCCCATTCCAAAGTTAGGCTTAGTCAACCACCCACCCACCCCCTCCCCCCTTTCCCGAGCCAAAATTAGATAGAGAAGAGAAATATATTAATCCAAGTTAAGATATAAAACAAGAACAAAAGAGTATCAACAGACGAACTACATCAACTAAAAATAAAAGGATTAAAAAAATTCCGTAAAGTTGTGGGCATTATTTTTAAAAATCTGTTTGTAAATTTTTTTTTTAAATAAATTGGTTTTAATAAAGGCTCCTTTAGACTTGGCTTTATAATCAGCGTTTCTTGACAGGTCAGGATCATCGATAAAAACAGACTTTGAAGCTTTCTTGACGATATTTTCAGAAAACAATTCTGCCGATTTTTCTTTTCTCTTGTTCTTAGAAAGTCTCTTCCTACCAGTTTCAATGCACCATAGACCTTGTGAGCTGGGTTCAAACAATTTAAAGAACAACACTTAGGCACTAAGTTATTCTGCATCCAGCTCAATATCCTAAACCAAGCACGCATTTCCAAGGCCTACAATGGTCTTAGCGATAAGTTTTTATAAAATTCTGCTTTTACAATGCAACGTTTCTTCGATCAAATTTCACTGTTCTAGTCTTCTAGATATTTAAATGGTACGATGTTTAAAGAAATATAAAACAAAATAACTTATTGATTGGTAGACTACAGTTTTTTCTACATTTTCCTAATTTTTTGCCATGTTCCACAGAAAAGTGGAGGGGCCATGGCCCCCACGCCCCCCCCACCGATTTCGCCGGCCCTGATAATTTACATATTCAAATTGTAACACGCTGTTGTTATTAATGACATTAGCATGTTATTTTACACCTTTCTCAAAAACTATCTATAATCGAAAATAAGCTTCAAATTTTTAAAATGTTTTGAAAAAAATATTTGCAAAGAGAGGGAATCAAGATTAGTTGAGTGCCCCATCTTTCTGACCACGCCCATTTTGAACCCCTTAAAATGAGGAAGGTTTTATAGTATGATAGAGGAAGGAAGGAAGGTTGAAAACTTTTCTGTACTCCGTGACAACACAACTAAAAGTTTGCTAAATATGAATATACAATGGCACAAATCTAAGCAAGTTTTATAAATTTTCTTTGATAAAACATTTCAGTTTGGTGTATAAATTCTAGGGTTTGTTCAAGTATGTTTCTATAGACGCCTTTAGGAAACGGAAAAACCTTCAAAAGTTGCATTAAACGCTGTTTGGAAAAAAAAATTCGGAGTACTTTGCAGGTAACACAATGCAGTTGCATTGTAATTGGTTAGACCTTGGGTTCCTAGTTTAATAACCGTTGTTCAATAAAATGATTTTCATCTTCTCGCAAGGAGCCATAGATTTTATTCGAATTCTGAGGTGGAAAAGCAGGGGGAAGCTAAAGAAAATTCTTAAGGTCTGACCGTTGGCAATTATACAACCTGTCCAGACAGCTTCCAGGAAGGTTCTGGCATCTAGGGGTGTCTTGTCGATAACTTTTCAGAAATATCGGCAAATAAAGGTTTGCTCACCTACTTTGTCGGCAAATGGGATCGGTGCAGTCCCCTCGTGGACAAAAGCTAGCTTGAAGGGGCTTAGCTTGAAGGGGCTTGGCTTGAAGGGGCTTGGCTTGAAGGGGATATAGAGGGTGTGACACCTCCCATGTCTTCATGTGTTTGTCAGTAAATCTTGAGCTGGTCTAAAAAATTCTTATTTTGTCGGCAAAATTGCCTATCAGTGGGTGAAATTGCACCTGAATTCTCTTCATCAATGTCATCGTCGGTAAATTTTCCTGCCCTCCACCCCCTTGTCTAGAAGGTCAAGCGACACCATTGTTCAAAACAGTGGTGCAATTTGCGACTCCCAGTTGACATCGTGGTTTTTGCATTTCGTTATCTGCAAAACTTTGTCGAAAATGGATTTGATAGGATTTGAAATTGTCTTATTGAAATAAGTCGGTACTGAAAACTTCATGTCGTTTTTGAATCGTAAGATATTTCTAAAGATTTTACTGGAATTTTCTACTACAGCCTAATTAGCGTTTTTAGCAGCCGAACAGGCCAAACAACATGAAATTTTTTACAGTTCTACCTATGTACATGTTCCTTTTTTAGCCAATATGAAGATGAAAAATATAGGGGAACTTATATAATTTATATAGGGCAAAACTATAGGGGAACCAACTATGGATAATATAATCTAGAAATTATGTATTAACCGACAAACCCAAAGCACGCTTGCACCCCATTTGGCCATGGCACTGCAGACAAGGGTTGAAAATCCATACTGCAAACTTATTACAATTGTTAATCTTTCGTTGTTTAGTGTAAAGACAGATCACTTACATTTACATTTTAACAGTTTACATTTTATATGTGGATGAGTGGACAGTAGAATGTGGCCAGACCCCCGTCCTATTTGGTGTCTAGCTCTCTTTTATTATTACGCATAATTCAAAAGATTGAATTGTGCTTATTCTGAAAGGTTTTGAAAATTGTCTTGGAAACCATTCATGCATTCTTTGAAATGCAAGCTGCCATTTAATTGTGGATGGTTCGATGTATTTTCTCCCCACACAGAACAGCCAAAACCAAGTAAAGGTATGTGATTTCCTTAACACTTCTTCAAATCAGTTTTGCAACTTTGTAATTGGAAGACATTGTGTAAACGGAAACGGAGTCTGAGCAAACCCTTAAATTTTCCTTGAAGGACGCTGCATCATTTTGAATACCAATGAATAAATAATACAGAAAAACAATGAATTTTCTCAAATGCAAATGACCCAACACATTCATTGTTGTGTTAGGTGTGATTATTGCAATTGCTTGTAGTAGGTATTGTTAGATTTTGTTCTGATATCTCAGTTGCTGATTCTTCACGACGGTTCACGCACAAAACCAAGCAAGGTAAATGTTTGCCTTTTTGTTGTTCTTTATTCTAGGCCATGCAACTTTTTTGCTTCGATCTCAGTTATCAAGTTTCTAATAAGTTATTAAGGATCACATTCGGAAACAAGTAAAATTGTTGTTTGCAAATGCATACTACGGCGGTTGACGCCTCAGCTCGGGCCTAATGGAAACAAGCAGTAGTATTTATTTGACACTTAGCATTTAAAAGGGCGGCTTTTTTAGCTAAACAGGCAAAGGGAATATTTGTATCAGTATGCTTTCATGGGTTTAGATTAGAAGCACTCTATGCAACGATGTAGCAAGAAAAAGCTTAACCTGTGTATCTTGACCTAATCTTTGCAAACATCCTTTATGAATTACTCTGGCTTCCTACATGGAGTTTTTTCTTTTAGAAGTTAGGCATTGGTGTTATTTTCGTTTATATACAGCCACTATCGCAGGGAATCATTACGAAATGACCGAATAATGCTACAATAAATAGGACTCGCGCGTGCCAATATCTAACTTAAAAGGAATTATCTTTATCAAAAAACCTTGGGAAAGTCGAAATAAACTTTTTCCATTTTCGAAATGGAGAGGCACTGCTTTCCGTTATCATGAGGTCGTGCGGTAGGACTTTGTGCCTTGTGTGGATTAGCTGAAAATTACAAAGTTTATCAAAATTTAGTCACAACATGTGGTTATATTATAAGTTGCTAGGGTTGCTAGGGCGCCCATCCTAAATTCTGCATCTGTATTGTTTGGGACAAAAAGCTTAATGATTTGTTTGAGCCAATCAACGTCGAGGAAGCCAGGCAACACAGCCAAACATGCAGACGTGCTGAGAACAGTAATTGTAGCCACTTAAACAAGTTTCATCTATTTCTGAGGAGTTTTACGGATATAATTAAGGGACGTATTTCTGTTGATTTTTCATTTAAGGGTTTCCTCGTCTCGGAGCATATTTGTAGTTGAAGGAGAAGATCAAATTTTGAAGATTTTTGCCTTAAAAATTCCAATAATTGAGTTGAAGATACGTTTTCTGTTGCTTTTAGTCGATTAGGTTGCCTTGATCTGGCTCTAGTGTCGGAGTTCAGATCAAATGTTGTTTACATCGAATGTCTAATCTACCTGAATATGTAGGCCTTAATACAATGAAATTCATAAATCAACAGATAATCCAGGCAGGTTTTTCAGTAAGCTAGATATTTCTGCAATTAACAAACTCTGAACGTCAATGTGCATCTCCGATGGCTCACTTACGAATGTTGTGCCTTTTTGAATCGATGGTTCTATGCCTTTTTGAATCTAGATATATAGAGGTACTCAGTCCACACCAATGAGGTGTACTCTATTCACCTCATCGATCCACACTCGAGAACTTGCTTCGCACATGTAAAGACGAGGGTTCTCTTTCTTTTTTGATTGTCCTCAAATGTACTCGAAAAGACAACTTGGGGAATATCTTTGGTGAAGGGGTCCCTTTGGTCTTTTGTTTGAAATTTTGTTAACTGCAGCAGGTAAGCAACAAATTGCTAATTAAAGGAAAAATATATTTCAAACTAATACATAAATGGGAGAAAAAATGATAATAAGCTTTAACCCTGATCAAACGATCCAACATTTCACCCAACATTTTCACGCGCAGATCGAAAAAGGACTGGGTAGAAGTTCGCGCTGAAGGCTGCACAGTTTCGCGAGATTTCGATCCGAAAAAACGAAAGGCAATCTCTGCCTTCCCTTTTTATTTTCTCTTCAGATATTTCCACTGTCATCGCGGTCTTTCAGGACAACCGTTGCATCCCCTATCAAGGCCGTGGCCTAAATTTATCCCCCTGCGCTTTCTTGTAGCTCCTCTGTGCTACTGTTTCTTCTTGGTGCCCCTTCTTTCGCACAGAATTTGTTATATTTCGTTATATTTTCCATAATTAAAGTGTAACTGATTGCAAGCAAACGCGATTGTTGAAACGAACGAAACCAGCCTAACAAAACAACAACGATGTGATGATTGATTTTTGGCACTCTTTAGCCAACTGCGCGTGCGCAGAGCCAACAGTGTTGGGTGAGGTGCGGTTGTCAAACGATCCAAGACAATAGAATTGTTGGACGTCGGCACCCAACATTTTTGACCTTAGTCAAATTTCGTCCAACATCGAAATTTACGATTTTAGGTGACCCAACAAGGTGGTCAAATGATCCAACATTTCGCCCAACACCATGGTTTGTTTCCATCGTTTTCGTATTTCTCCGAAGCTGTGTTTTCGTACGACAACGAAGAAGAAGTCAATTGTAACTCTAACGTTCAATTTATATCAACATTCAATTTCAAAGCTAAAACTAAAGTACAAAGAATTGATTGTGTTGCAATCCCCATACATAATAAGATTTCCCCATAGCAACACAATAATAAGAAACATAGAACTAGAAGGGCTAGAATGCGCGGTCTATTGTTCTTCACCTGTCGCGCGTGTTGCCACCGTGGGGAACTAAAATGGTAGCAACAAGTTGGCAAAAAGCAGCAATAACAACAGAGGATTAGTACGTGTCGAGCCGGCCTCTTTTAATTTGGTAGCTTGTATGGCGAATAAAACCGATATTGCAAGTCAATGGATAAAAAGTATGTTCCAGGTAAGATTTGCGTATACTTTTAAGCACCTAGCGGGTACTTCCTTCTTTAAAAGCTGTGGTATCGTCTGGCGCAGGGCTAGGTCATCTCTAAAATTTCGATGTAAAAAATAAGATTTTATTAAAAATATATTGATTTTGTTTGCATGAATTTTAAAGAAATATTTACATTGTCAAATACCTGTCTTTAAGGTTAGGGAACGTTTGGAATCCAAGTGAACGCGAAATTTCGAATGCCCAAACTGAATCGCATCCCAACATTGAATTTGAACATTAGTCCATTAACCCAGTCAAGATGTGTTACCAATCTTTTTGCCAAATCTTTGAGTGTATTTATCGAAAACAGAGGAGTTTTATTTTACATATTATTATAAATGCCGATTTCTCAAGTTGTGCTATTTACAGATTATGCTATTTACAAAAAAGGGATCATCTTATTAAAATGTTGTTTACATTTGTCAATCGTCAAGAGAGATGGCATTTCCTCCATCTACTTTAAAAGGACCACCAGGCTACTTAACCGCCGCCCGGCACTCGGCGTTATATAAAGTTTGACGATTTTCAAATGAAACAACATAATCCTAAAGGTTTTATTCAGAACCAAAGTTAGTCGTTGTAAAATAAAATCTGTTTTGTTAACTTATGGCGTTTTGATGCTTTGTTTTTCTTTATGATACGCTCTGTATATACTCTTCCAAACTGGAAGCAGAAAATTTTTAGATATTTTTGAGTTATTAATTTGATTAAAATTGTTATGTGATCATCCCTCATGTGCTCATCCAAGATATGTGTTGCCTTTGAATGTTCAGATATAGATGTAAATGTTGACATCTTCGTATCTTGCAATACTTTTGATTCAATTTGTTTATTCATATCACTTGAAATGCCCTGCCAATTACATAATTCCCTTCTAGCAATTCTATCAACGCTTTGGACAACCTTATAAACAGACCAAGATGGAACTAATAAATTCCCAAACCTTTTGCATGATATGAGTGAAAGATTGCAGCTATAGCCATAGTCATTAGAGCTGTCTGAGCTTTGGTACAGAGCAGTTGCACAATCAGGACAATCAAGGGACTCTAGAATTTTTTTTACAATATAGCCAGAAATGTATTGCAAGACATCATTTCTCCAAATGTTATTTGAAAGGAGCATGTCATTGACAGCTGGGTCACTGCTTTGGATTTCATTGCTTTCTTGGATCCTGCTGATATCAATGCAATTGGCTGTGGATGGAGCTTCAATTTTATTCTTCAATAAAAGGGATCGCAGTGCATATTTAAACTGGAGGGCTGTTGGGTTATTGTTCCAACCAAAACGACTTCTTATTTTTGAAAAGTACATTTCAATTTGGTCCTGAGAAAAGCGATATGTTAGTATGTATTTGAAAGGAGATTCTGACCTTTCAAATAAATGTCTGCTAATATTCAGAATTGATGTTGCAGAGACAGCAAAACCAATTACAAAGGTCTTTCTTGGCCCATTGATTATTGGCAAGCCTGCTGTATCCTTAAGAGACTTAAGATAATCAATCCCATTATTAAGGTAACCTTGAAGCTCAAGGATATTATCAGGTGTGATTGGCTGCTTTGTATTCTTACCAAATTTGCTTTTAGAGTTTAAAATGTCAAAGATGTTGTTCATCAACAAAATAAACTCACTTGTGGCCTTGCTGTCTCTAAACTCTGCAAGTTTGAGGCTTCTTAAAAAAGTAATGGCAGCTGCAACAGAATGGCTCAGTGTCTGTGCAGCAATACCAACTTTCATTTTGTGGTTCTGCCATTGAATATGCTGGGTCTTAAGTTTGTTGGCTAAATTTAACACATCTTTTTTCTGTGCTCTATATAATGCCAACACATACTCCCATGATATTCTTTCCCCAGTAGGAGTACAAAATATTTTAATGTCTGCAAAAGCATTCCTTGCTAGCTTTATCATATGACAGACATCTAGAATGATAAAAATTTTTTTACCAGGTTTAGCAGGATGCGGAAAAGAACCATCCAGCTTTTTTATGTTAGCCCCTAGTTTTTCTGCCATAGTGATATTTTTAGGGGCCCCATCAAATATCACTGCATGCACTTCAGCACCTTTTTGTGTGACCATTGTTATGGCTTCAGTTATTATTCTAGCCAGGATATCACCATCTAGTGCATTGGTCAAAAAATATGCTATTGGGACATACCATGGTTTTTGGAGCCCAGCTACCATGAAAAGAAGTGCATTTTTAGCAATCGTGTCTGGCTTTTCTCCCTTAAGTGGACCATAGTTCACATTACCAACAAATCTTGAATTTTTCTGGTCCCATTCAAGTTTTGTTTTAATTGCCATTTCATCTAAAATTATGACACAATCATTCTGACCCTCTTTTACTTTATTTTCAATGAAATCAAAGGATTTGTCTAAAAACCCAGGCTCGCAGTCAATGTTAATAGCCCAAGAGCGGATAGTTGCAGGGTGTGGTAAATGAAGATGTTTTCTTATGAACCTGTATGCTCTTGGGCTGTAAAAGTGAAGGGAGATTGCAAACTCTTTAATCTCCTGTGAGTATCTAGAACCAGCCTGTTTTAAAGCATTTTTGGTTTCATTTCTAAATAACTCAGTTGTCAGATGACCAAAATTCTCTGCTAATGTCTCCTCGCTTGTTTGGCTGAGCATTTTTAATTCTTTCAACTGAGAGCAAAGGCCTTTGATAGTTTTTTCCTTTCTCACGTTACTTATTCTCAACTTTTTGATGATCTTATTTTTTTCTTGAAGTTTCCTTTTGTATTTTTCTGCAACTTTTCTAGGGGAAGTCTTTAAAACATAAGTATGGTCATCAGCAAGCTTAGGTTTCTTCTCAGTTGAGGTTGTTGGTCTATTAGGAGAAGCACTAGGTCTTTTCCTTGGCTTTCGCTCTTTTGTTTCCTTTTTTGGATATGGGCGGGAAAATCAAAAACAGATGGTACTGCATCCTTTTTCAAATATTTTTTTCCTAATGACTGATAGTTTGGTAAACAAGAAGGATAGCTGTAATCACTTGGAAGGAAATGTTTTTCACAAATTCTTTGCGATGGTGTTGGGTGCCAATCTTTTCTTCTCATTGCAACAAGCCATTTACCCATCAATTCTTTATTTGATAATGGAAAGCTGTGGAAAATATACCACAAACAAGATTAAATTTCATTTTTCCTTTTTTACTGCAATAGGTAACCCTCAATTTGCTGTCATTTTTATCTACTCTGTGCAAACTTTAAAATATTTGATTATGAAACCTGGGGGTCAACCTTTGAAGTTATGGGTCTCAACACATGCTGACAACTTTCAGCATAAACATATGAGATAGTACCGTAAGAGCACACTCACATTATTTTACAGCCTCAGTTGCAATTTTAATATACCCAAGTCTTTCTTTTTAGTGTGTACGAAGGAAGAAACGCAGGATATATTGTGCGCCGTATTCTGTGAATCTTGCAATGAGTAATATTATGAATAATAGTTAGGAACAACAAAGTAACACTACGATGAAAATCCAATGTTTTGAAATAGAATTTCAAAATACATATATTTAATAAATACTAATATTTCTCCCCGGCATGAAGGGCTTCATTAGAGGCTTTCTTGATAGAACCACCAAAAAATTAAAAAGCTAAAGAAAAAGTGTACGTCCAACACTTTCACCTCGTATCTCTAACTGAAGGCCCGATAGGTTTGAAAAGTTTTATTACAGCGCTCTCGAATAATAAAAAATCATTTATCCGACAAGTAAATTTTTATATTGAATTATCCAGAAATGCCGAAAACTTATCGTAGTATTGAATTGCGATCGTGAATGCCGGGTATGTGAAATGTTTCTTATATGTCAAATAAACCCTTCCGCTTGAATTTAATTCAAAATAAGATTAGAATTAATCTTACATATGTCTCAAAGTTTGTCTTTCAATTCAAAGCGCTAGTGAAGAATAGGCCTAGACTTACTGATGAAACGACACATTCGTTTGTCCTGGACGAAGATCCTTCGTCGGGATCCAGCGATTTTCGCAACCAAACGCAGCACAGGATACAACCATTATACAGATTTTATCAGATCTGAACCAATTCTGAATAGTTTATCGCAAAATAAACGCAAAATTTCGGGTATGTGACGATCGTCATTAAAGTCGGCCTATGTTATCTGAATATTACTTCCGTGTTTTCTGCCAACTTGTTGCTACCATTTTAGTTCCCCACGATGGCAACACGTCACGTGACCTACCACGCATTCTAGCCCTTCTAGTTCTATGATAAGAAACATCAATAGGATGCTAGCCGCCTACACCTCGGGGTTTTCTCCAAAAGTCTAGAGAAGTAATCAAATATTGTTCATTTGGTGTGTGTAGTAGCTAGTTTGCTGTGTGTGGGCTAACAGTAAGGAAAATAATTATCTTTTTGGTGGAAATACAGCTAGAAGTATACAGTAGAATCCCGTTATAACGTACTCGGTATTACGTACTTTCGGATATAACGTACTGGTGTGCTTGGTCCCGGCAAAAGGTGTGCTTGGTTTTAGTCAATTTTAGTTACCCTCGTTTCAACGTACTTCGGTTATAACGTACCTACTACACTGGTCCCTTAAAGTACGTTATAACCGGATTATACTGTATATGAAATGCCGCCTTTTTTGCAAGTTCTTATCGAGTACCGAAGTGTGACGTCATCAAAAAATCTAATTTTAGAATTTCTAATTTTAGCATAAAATACCTCTTAACAAGCAAAATCAGTAAGGTATGTTCAAAATTGGGCGAGATATGACCAATGAAAGACTTCAAGTTTGCTAACGGAATACTGTTATTCTGGCCTGGTTTATGAAGTTATGAACCAAGTTAGAATGTTTAAAGACAAGTTAGAGAGGTTTGATGTGGAAAGAGCCTGTGCTTACATAGCCATATTTCAGCCAATTTGTAACACATTCAGCTTATTGTTCACATTTCGGTACTGTATTAAAATGTGCATTTCTGCTGTCCACCATCTGCTGTCCTTACTATTGGCTAGAAGTCCAAGGTTGTTTTTGGTGTTTGTGATTGCGTGGATGGCAAAATCTGCAGTCTGTGTTTTTAACAATTTTCATTGTTCATCATTTTTATTTTCATGCCTCGGTTATTCTAGTTTTATGACTCCCAGGTGAACCTGACAACACCTGAATGGACTTTCCAGAACTACCTACTCTAATGAATATTCCTGAATTGCGGTTTTTTCGGATCCAACTTAAGGTGTTGATGTCTGAAACACAGTTTTTTCTTCCAGGTGTATCTGGAATGATGCTTCGCACAATTGTAGCAATTGCTGCCATATTTGTTCTCTGCTGTGATGCAGACAAGAATCTGGAGGATGGTGATCTCAAGGTTAACATAAGAGGACAATCTGGAAAGATCACGTTTTCAAGAAGTAAGGCTGCATGCTTTCAGATTTATCTTTTTAATACATTGCTCAGGGCAGTGCTGGTACGTTTACTAGTTGGGCCTTCCTGGACATCGTGACAACCGTTCTTCCACGGGATGGTAGGCGGTAGTGGAAGGAACGATAAAAAATTTGCTGGAATACCAAATAAAATGTGAACTGAACCCATTCCTCAGATAAAATTTATTTGCTTTGTCCCTCAATAAAGCTTTTCTTACTTATGTAGCTCGGTTAATATTGCAAATTTCTCTTTGTTTGCCCATTGATAACACATGTGTAAACTCCTTTTTGAATGAAATGCTGCAATCAAAACTGAATAGGTAGAAAATGCTGATAAAATGAAATTTTATCAGAGTTAATTATACGAGGGAGCTTTTTTATTTTAATTGATAGAATGCATTTGTTGATGTTGTGTTTATTTGATAGGCCAATAAAAAGAAATTAGAAGGTTCTTGATTCGCATCAAATAAATCACATTTTAGAAAGTCACTTCACGGTTCATGTTAATTAGTACCTGCGCAAATTTCCGCCACGTTAATTTGTCCGTGTGCTAATTTTTTTGTAATAAGGTAGATACAATTTAGCAGAAATGAGAATAATAAGCAGTTATAAGCAAGGATTTCTTACAATTGCTTTAAGCAAGGATTCTTTCCCGGTTCATTTTCAGTTATACGTGGTGTATTTAAAAGATTTGCCTACTGATTATTCTTACAAAAAGATGAACCGCCCTCCGTTGTCTAAGGAATCATCACAAACAAAAAGCATCTTGTTGAGAGCCAGGGGGGAAGAGTAATGAAAATAAGAAAATTACTTCTGTGTGAATTTCTTGCTTTTATTCTAAAAAAATTCAAAATTCCTTTTAAGCTAAATGATGAAATTGCTGTACTAGCCAATAATCAGAAGCCAGTCATTCTGTAAATTCTACTTACTTTTGGTTGACTTTTGACATTACCATATGAAAATGAAATTTTCTACAGAGTTCTTTGACCATCGCTTACTGCTGGCTGGTAGCTCACAAAATGAACTAAGTTTTACCAATTCCCTTGTTCCACCATGAATGATCCGTAAAAATTGTTCCACCATGAATAAATTTTCACAAATTAGAAGTAGGCGTTTTATTATTAGGCGTGGTCAAAAGGGCGTGGCATATTGTATCTGAGCCTGGCCGTCCCACCAAACCTGGCTTCGCCACTGACCCTCCCCCTTTATCCAAATAAAAAAATAAAAAGGCAACAGAAACTACGATTGCTGCTTGTTATTTCATTTATTGTAGTTATAATGAAGTTTGAGGTCGATTTTTTTCTTTTAGAGGGTAATTCTCTGACCGTCAATTTCGACTACATCAAAGAATTGGATAAGGATGGCAATGAAGTTGGTACAAGTGGCAGTAAGAAGCATTCAATCAACAGTTTTGCCAAAGAATCATTCACCTTCAAAACAGCTGGTTTGAAAACAGAATACCAAAACATCTCTGTCAAGCATACCCAGTTTGAAGCAACAATTTCTGGTCCTGGAGCAAAACTCATTGTTGATATCTTCATCTTTAAAGGAAGTGGAAATATAAAAACTTCCAAAAATGAGACGTTGGAAGTTAAGAAGGGTACTGCCAAGTTTAACATCAAGTTAGAGAGCTGGACATTCTGTGGAGGAAGTGGAGGAGACTCTTGCTCAAAAGGCGGTGCTCAAGAAATTGGTAACCAAATAGAATTGGGTATTGAGATTAAAGGAAAAAAGAAGCCATTAAAGAAAGGAAAAGGAAAAGGAAAGGGCCGCAAAGTTGAGACATTTGACCTTGGAGATGGTGATTGTACTCTGAGTGGTGCAGTGAGTATAACTTTGACAATTTGTTGAACAAGTTAACAATATCACGTTCCGCCAAGCAGGGGGGGGGGCTATGGGGTTTTAGCCCCCCTTCTTTTTGCCGAAAATGCAAAAAACTATCCAATGAATCACCAGTCAAGTTTCTTTGGTTTCGGTTTTAGCCCCTCTCCCCCACTTTTTTAAACCCTTAACTTTCTCGACTCTTCACTTGTCTGTTGATAGATAATTAAGTGGATTGAGCTATCTGTCAATCCGGAGGGATTATTTATTTTTTTAGTCCTAGAGGTGGAGGGGGAGGGGGGCTTAAAAGAGAGTAGGGCTTGTTAGAAAGGGGGCTTATTAGTAATTCAATGTAGAAGATGTTATTAAAATTCCATTTATGCATTTTTTGTTATGAAAATATATACAAATGTCCTCAAACTTTTTGCTAGCAGCTTCGAAATCTTCTTAAAAAAACTTTTCTTCTAAGGGGGGACTTAATAGAGATTTCACGGTAGCTCAAGCCACATTGGTACCTGTTTGCCTTCAAACAGTGTACATCGTCTAAATCTACTTTGCAAATAAGATACCTTTTCGATTAGAAGGAAAATTATGTTAAAGCGACATACTTATAATGCTTTTGAAGGGAATATCACATCTCTGGCGGCCTCTTGCTCAACACTATTTTGACTTTCAAGAGCCGTTGAGAGCAAGCCCCGAGCTCAGGGAAAACTTGAAAGATATACGTGACTTGCCAAAGTCTCAGTTATATTGAAAGAGGGCAGGATGGTTCAAAGTCTCAGTCGCACTCATGATGACACACTGAGTTTAAACTTTTTCTCTCCTTTCCCATCATGTTTTTTTTCTCCCCTCTTCTTTCTCTATCTTTTCTTTCTTTTCCTCATCTACTTACCCTAGCTATCTATTTTCCTTCTCGACACCCTTGCTGACTTTTAGGATAGATGACTTACATTGCGTTTAAGAAATAACTATAATTTTCTATAGGTCGAAGTTGATGGTACTTGGAAAGAAATGGTCGCTTCCTACCCAAAAGTTGAAACTAAAGGTGCCAAGACACTGTTCATGTTCCGCTTTCCGAAGTTCAGCAGCAAAGTCATCTATGACCCAACAGTGGAGCTTTCCGCGGCTGGTGGAAGTTCAGCATTGAAAGTTGGCATCTTAACAGTGCTTGCATCCATCTTGGCACTTATGAAGATTCTTTCGTAAATTCCTTCTAATAAGACTGTGAACATTTGCTTACTGCTTCATTTCTGTAGTTTGTTTAATGTGCTAACTTCATTTTTATGACACAGATTATTTGTTCTGTTTAAAATCATTTGTTCAAGTTGACTTGGTCATTTGATAGGCCATACCGAATTTTTTGAAAAGCACCGTTTTCTTTGGTTTTTACTGACAACAGCTGTTTACGTTTTCATATTGAACAGGGGTGGAACAATGATCCCCAACTGATTGTTGGAACAGATGCACTTATCCAATCATACAAGGGAACAGGAGGAGAATTTTAGAAAGCACACCAGCGTTGCAACCATCATTTGCGCATTGCATTTGTCGAAATTCAACAAATTAAAAAGCACTTCCCCATCTACTTGGACCTTATTATCAAGAATAGAAGCTGCTCCTGTCCACCCCATTACTTTGGATATCCCGCTAGATTTTGTGACTACGGTGGTCGAGCAACCAATCAAGAATAGCCAAAACTAAAAACACAAAAATCACACAATCCCCCCTTCCCTTTTCCTCGCATTCAGAACCTGTAGTAAAAAATATGTATTACGAACCATTCAGCTGGACTAATTATATTTTCGTAATTGTTGCTTCACCTATCCATTTATCGCTTTAAGTGTCAATCTTGCTTGCATAGTCAATATTAATTAAAATTGATATTGCTTTTGTGTCTACCCGCTTTTTCTTCAGTTTTATTTCTTGTCATCGGGCTTCTACTATATATATACAAATATAAGGCTCAAAAGTGGGTACATTTGTAAGGCATATAAACTTTTTTAAGAGTACCTTGATTTTGGTGAGCCTCAGAACAGGAAAAGATGTGATGAATACCTTTCTACAATTTTCTTAATAAAAAATAACAAAGTTTAAAAAAGAAAAAGCAGATCAGCTTGCCAGGAACATTGGCATTTTGTTGTACATCTAGATCGATAGGGTTTATTTCATTCCCTAATCGAGTTTATCCCAGAAGCCTTGAATGCTGATGGACTAAAAAGAGAGAAGAAAACAGCTTCTGATTCTTTTACTTTGTCGTTTCCAGGATAAGGAGACAGACGCAGTGCCGTAGAAAAAGTGGGGTTTTTGGAGAGCCCAACAGTTGGACAACAATAGAAACAAAACGAATAAAGAAATAATAGAATAATTGAATAAACGAATAATAGAAACAGAATATCTCTTTGGCAACAGATAAAGTTCGGTCCTGCTACGGTCACTGGAGATCAGTGGCCACGGTCCATAGATATGCTACGGTCAAACTTTTCCTCCGCATTCACACTTCCCTCTAACATTTCCGTTGCAATTTCACAAAAAAATCTAACGTGGTGACATCGTAAAACTCGATTGGTATAATTTTTTTTTTATAAACTACTGGAAATAAATCCAGTTTGCAAATCGTTCAATAAGACCGCAGCTAGCAACATACAACAGGTATATTAATGTTGCTAAGTGCATTAGAATTGTTTGGCAACGAAAACAGTAAAGGTGAACTACTCCCTTTACAGTTTGCAATCTCTTTTATACCTGTTGTCAAGGCCTCATTCAGAAGTGAATAATATTTGGTTAAAAAGAGAAAACAGATTTGATTATTGCCACTTCTCCATCCAAAAACACAGTTTTTAAAATCGAAATTAATCTGGTTAACTTGGCTATTCTAGAATCTAGAGCTCATATCATAATACCATACGTAGACTTAAAATCATGAACTTTTTATGAAAAACAGGTTCTTTTTAAAAAACAAACAGGTACTTTTCCTTTACCTATAAACTTTGCATGCATTTACATCAGAACCGCGACTAGTTGCATATGTAAAGAAGCAATACAGCAAAGCCAGTTTGTGATGTGATACAGGTTCTCTAAGTTTAGGAGTTTAATTTGAAAGGTAGGTCAATGTCATTGAGTTATTTTCTCATTTAACATTTCTAACATTGATGAGGCAAAGCAAAACAGTATCTAGTGCCCAGTTCCCAGGACCAATGTACTTCGTTAACAATCATGTTTCTGCGCGGGAGTTCAACTCTCGGCAATAATGTCTCTGTGTGAAACTCGTTTCTTTTTCCAAACACAAATCTGTACGGCTGGGAACAATTACTCATTCTAAATATAGAAATTGGGTGCCCCTCTCGGAACGGATCCCGACCCAATCCTTTTTAGATCCCAACTTGTGAAAGCATACATACAGACATACATACATAATTTATATTATACAGGTTATCTTAAGGCAGCTTTAGGCAGCTGATGTAGACCCGTTTTTTACTTTGTCTATAAAATATTTGTCGAATAAATTATGAAACATAATGGCTTTTCTAAGAACAGGAACGTAGCTAAAAATTAAAACTATAGAAGGAGCCTAATTAAAACACATCTATGCAGCCTTGTCTAATAATACTAAGATGAAATGATATTTATCAAGATTTTATCTTGATAATACTGATAGCAAGGGTCAGTTGTGTGAGTTTCTGTTGTGTGGCTTTATTCGAACTTTACGGAGAGGCTTTACTGAGCAGCATACAACGATGACGTCAAATTAAGTCAATCCTGCCCTAAAAGGCTGACTAATTGACAAAGAAAATCCCTAACATTCCTATGAAAACCTGTTTAAGTAAACAAACTAATAAATTATACAAAATACCAAATACCATACAGTCAGCAACAGTATCATTTATAGAATCTGTACACCATAAATTCTTGCGAATTTCAATGACGTCATTATGGCAAGGGTATCGTCAGATTCAAACATTTTCACTGAAAAACCAGACCTATCTATAAGATAGCATTAACGGTCGAGAGTATGTAAGTACGCAAGTGTCCCCAGTTATTGAATGATCACTCCGGGGGCCTTTGAGCCAGAGGATATTTCAGTTACAAATTTAAGGGAAATCCATTGTTGGTAATGCTTTGCTGCATCAAATGTTTTTGCTTTTAAAGTCCGTTTAACTTCGAAATGCATTCGACGTTATCTGTGCTATGTTACGCAGCTCTTCTGATTAACTTTATAATCGAATTTTGGATTTCAAACCATGTTTCATATATCATTATCGTGTTTTATTTATATTATTAATAATCATCTTACGACGGATAAAACAATGTCATCTAAACTTATGAACTAAACTAACTACAAAGCAAGTAATCCTTTTAGAAACTTCTTCAATTCAAGTGGTGATTGAAATACTCTTAAATTTTTGCTCGTATGTTATAGTACATTATTATATTTTATGACGTCATCACTTAAAATTCAAAATTATACATAATGACGTCATTGCCTAACTCTAGCCTTTAATATTGCAATACAGTCAGGCCCTGCAAATAAGAAGCGACTTTTAAAAACCTTTACGCTAAGGTAATTCCTGAAAGGCCCTGTTTTATAACTAACATTTTAGGCTGTTCTTGATAGGGCATTCAAGATGTTCAAGATGTTAATTTTAAGGTGTTAAAATAAAGTTTATTTATGGGTGACGGAATACTATAAAGCTTTAAGTATATAAGAACACTCACTCTCAAATTAAATACAAATAAGAATGAGTTAAAATGCAATTTGTATGGCGAATCATGATAGTACCTATTTGTAAGAAAGCATCTAACCAAACCTTGGAGATTTAAAAAACTTTTAAGAAACTTTTAGCCTAGAAATTGAAAAAATATAGTAGAAAAACAGCCTCTTATTCGCTGGGCCTTCTGTGAAGTTAAAATAACGACAACATGCGAGAGCATTGCACACCATTCTGTACTGCTTGATTACGTGACCTCAAAAATATTTACCCGGTACTCGTGAACTAATTGAAGTCTATAATATATCTTAACCACAGCCAACGGTTCATCAATCGTTGGCAAAGGCTGCTGCCCACTCGTCCGGTTACGAAATTGAATCGAAACAAAACAGTTTATTCAGCCGGAAAAATTAACCACGCAAATTGATAAGATAGAGGAGGAAGGGGCTGATGTTGTAGATATAAACCCGGTAGTCAAGTCAACAGTTACCCTGGGTATCATATGATTTCATAGCAACAAGACGCTTTCTGTTCGTTCAAAGTCCAGAAAATATTGCCCCTCCACGGCTGTGTAACGGGGAAAGGTTATCCAGCGATGCAATATTTTCTAAAAAGACTAATGCAAAGTATGACAGTGAGAGGAAATTAGCGTTGAGCTTGAACTTTTCTTCTTTCCTTACGAATTGTAAAAACCAAACCATAGAAATTCCATGTTTAAGAAGATTTTATCCAAAACATGCAAGCAAAATTTTGAGAAAGGAAACAGAAGTAACATTTCCTCCAGAGGATGGTTGAGGCATTTGCTCAACCTGTCAGAGGATAACCAACCAGGATAGGAGTGGCATGACAAGGATTTTGAGGTGGTACAGCTGTTTAAGAGGACAGGATGTAACAAATATTGTTTTTCTGGGATATTTTTCTTGCCAAAGTTTTTATAAGAAGGGTTTATAAAATTGTCAGAGGTGCATCTGCCACAAAGCAAAACCACAGTGTTAACAACCTAGCAAAAACTCAAATCCCTCACCTTCATTAAATGGTATGATTCCAGTTACTGCCCTGTGACGTCAAGGTATGATGTCAAGTATCTCTTTTTTAGCGACTTCTTCCTTGTATTCTTAAATGAATCTAAGACAGAGTGATAGAAAAAGATATTAAACCAAATACGTAAAAACCCTAGCGGTGAACAGGTGACAAATTTTCCCAATCTTTCAGGCAAAGCGAAAAAGAGCCTATTTGCAGAAAGGTACCGTTTTTGATTAAGTGTGCTCCCACCACTTTTAGACGATTCCTGATCCTATGGATCAAAATGGTCTGTTTTAAACAAACAAATTCTAAACTTGGCTAAAATTTAGGCAAGCACAGCAAATATCTTAGATAAAATATCTTTATACAGAAATATTAAGTTTTATTGGGTCCATAAAGCAAAAAGAAAAGTTATATTGGATTATTCCCCACAGGTTGCTTTTGTGCTGTTCAAAATTCTTAGAATATGCAGCTTTTAGGAGGATAATCAAAGAAATCTGGCCCGCATTTCCAAGTGAAAAAAGGAGTAAATGAAAGCAAGGAATACACAGATTATGCCTGTAATAAATAAGAAGCTGGTTTTTGGAGCTTTCGTTGACAAAATTTCAGAATTGTGTGGTTATTAGCATGCAATGCAAGACGCTCGAAAAAATCACAAAATCCAAGCATGTCTAAGATCAAAAGAACTTGTAGCAGAGGCAAAGCTACCGATATTACAGGCCTTGACATGTCCCTGCACGTCTTTATTAATTGGTTGCTTTGATACCAATAATTCTATACCATATCTTCTAGGCTACAGCTCCTAGGCTACAGCTCCTAGGCTACCCCCAAAGGCGTGGTTTTGCTTTTGTACAAGATTGAAAAACACAGTTCTCGTTAGAAACTTAAAATACCAGTAACTAATAGCAATTACAAATCACAAAAGTCATAAGAATTCGCAACTACAATCATAATTAGCCTCGATGCACCTAATGCATCCACAGGAACTGCTGGATACTCAGTTAAGGGTGATAGATTCCGGCTCGAGCTAGCCTACTTATTAAATAATTTATGATTATATTTTCATTACAATCGCCACCTGAACTGTTTTTATCGGGCTGTCAAAATATCTAAAAGCATTCGAATAAAAGTTATCGATAAAACTGCCGGTGTCGTTTAAATGATAAACAAAACCCGAATATCCGGTTTTAGATGCGGCAAAAATCCAGACCCAGAATTCTTTGTCAAACCGGTTTTACGTGTCTGTTAACCCGGGTCAGGCATTTGGAATTTCGTACTGTAAACGATCAATTGTTTTTTCAGGGGACGGGTTGGAGCTAAAACCTGGTTCAAACTGAACCTCAGTTGACTTTTTAACACTACAGCTGATTTCACCCACAGTTAGCCACCATCTTCTCTGCTGCTGACTCAAGGCCAATGATTATGTTATTCATTGATATTTCCTCGAAAATCCGTTAATTACGTTTTGTAAATGTAACAGAGGGGGTTCCCACAATTTTTACGTGAAAGTCAGGGTTGTCTTTTTTCCTTGAAAAGGCTAACTATCAATGAAATTTAAGCCAGGCATATTTTTTAAATCTATACTTCATCTTTGAATAGTTTTGATCAGCAATATTCTTTTAAAATTTTTCCTTTTAAGAAGTGTATATTTTGAATGCAAAAATATAGATGTTTAAATTTTCTGTGTAATGTTTTGGCGAGTGATATGAGCTTGCTGAGAGCAAATGTCTTGTGAGATGTCAGCGAGGGCATGATTGATATAGTGCCACAGTGTGAATTAAATGCCAGTGAACCTGGATCATTTTCATTTCTGCGGATGGGCATGGGGTCCGTTGTTCTATCTTTATTTCGCCTCCATCATGCAAGTTTCTTTACAAACAGATGTGATATGAAAAATACGTATATGGATACTTATTTTGATAAACACTTATTCGCAATAAGGACAATTTTATAAGAAACCGAGCCAGGCCAAACATTTTTTTGGAGGGGTAAAGAGGTGCTTTTTGCCGACAAAAAGGGCGTGTTTCGCTATTCAAGGCTGTGATCAAAATATAAATACTCTTATATGCTGTTTTTATGCGTTTCTATTTCAAAATTCATACCTTAGTGCCATTCTTTGAAAGTTCAGCTATTACAGAAATGTTAATATGTTAAAATTGTTGCGAAAAGGTTACAGGGTGAGTACAAAAATCGCTGTTTTGCCGTGCAAAAATCATAAAAGATGGACAAAGTGCCGACGGACAAAGTGCCGGGTGCCGCACCCCCCTCCGCGCTCCCCCTTTGGCGACACCCCTGAACGGAGCCTCCAAATTGGAAGCCAAAAACAAATTAAGAAGAAGCTGAGACTGAGCTACCGTAAAATGTAATTTTGAACATTGTTGTGAAACATCCTTAATTTCATCTCAAAAACGGTTGTCTTAGCGACACTGTTGGAAAATGAGGCCTGAGCACCCCCTAAAGCACACTAGCTAGGAAAATTGCACTGCATATATCCAAATAATTTCAGAATAAATTATAAACAACCCAGTCTTAAATTTTCTAAAAAATTTCAATTTGCTGGCTGTCATAAAAAAACTCAAGGGCTATCGAGCGATGTATCCATATTACGTGTATCGTAAAGAAGTCATGAGATCACTTGAAGGGTTATCGAAAGAAACCGTTTTGCAGCGCTTTGTCGGGCATCGGCCTTCCTTAAATGAAGATATAAACTGTTTACCTTAAATTTCGACAATTTTGAGTTTTGATTTCAACAACACAAATGCGAAGTCAATGTTTTGGATCGTTTGTTTTTGAGGTAACTTATATTCTCTTCATTGATAAAAAAAAGACAATTTACTTTATTTTTTTTTGCTTTATTTTTGCCTCCTTTTCTTATTTGAAACAACGTATTTTAGATACAAAAATTCCATTGTTGTCCAAAGGAAACTCATATTAGTCTTAATTAATGTATATTCATTATTGTAAAAACTAACATTAAATAATATACAATACAATACAATACAATGCAATACAATACAAAACGATACAATACAATACAATACAAAACGATACAATACAATATAATATTAGAAGGTTCCTAATCATAAGCTCTGTTATAAAGGACATAGAAAGCAGAAAACAACACCCTTAGCCCCCAGGTGCTTGCTTTGCACCTATATACGTCGAGGGAATATATTATATGTTTTCATTGCCTTTCAAGGCAAAGGGATTTTCTTTTCTGTGATGTCATTGATCATGGTTTGATAAACAGGCTTCGTGAATACATATCCACTTCCTGCTTAAAGAATTCTATAAACATGAACATCATGCATGAATCACACGTTCCAGAGCGATTATAAATTTACATTTAACCGACCTGTTGCTATAACAACTATTGAAATGCTGATTGGTATGACGTACTCCCTGTTTTTGATAGACAAATACTATTGTTTCAGTAGACCAATAAACATCGCGAAGTGTTTCTTTAAAAGTGAGGATTTTATCACAACAAAGCAAAAGGTGCATTGGCGAACGGAAGCTCGTTGACATAATTCTAGTGAGAAGAGGCGCTGGCTCAAGTCGCAACAGTAAGTGAAACACTATGCTATGCTATAGTTTTATTTCTCGTAATACTTAATAAAGACAACCTTCGGCAAACGTAACACCATGCAGTGACACGATAAGATGCGGTCAGGTCAGCTCAGTTCGGTTAATACCAGTTGTTCAAACAAGTCTGGACTGGATTTTGCCACAGTTAATAACCTGAATCTTCGTTTTATAACGTTTATCCGTATAATCGCAATTAGTTGAAAAAAAACCTCTGCTGCAAAACAGATGCTGACGGAAATGACTTAAATAACAGCCAAAATAAGTTCGAACTAGGGAACTTTTATGTAGGGGTTTGTTGGGAGATTTTCAAGGGACCTAAGGATTTTGTTCAAATTGATAAAAGTTCAATTACACAAGTTTGAAATAGACCGAGGTGACTGCATGCCTTTCCTATTCTGAAAGAAAATCTTACTTTTTCACCTTTAAAGTGCAACCTGTTGTTTTGCGAATTTTGTTTCGCTTTAGCGCGTATCCGGCCTTTTCTGCGGTACGGATTACATCCGGGGGCCTTGTTTTGAACCTGAACAAAGAAACGCTTGCTATAAACGCGTAAGGTATTTCAAAAATTAGACCGGATCTGAGCGACACCGACCCACGGCCAGTATGCAGAGCATGGCAACGGCGCACCCAAGATGCAGACATGGTGCACCTAAAAACTAGATATGTTAAATAATATACTGGAAATGTTGATGGTGCTGGTGCACCCAGTATTTAAGGATGGTTTTTACGCACCCTCACCCGGTTGGCGCATCCACCGACTTGACTGCCATCAATCAGGCAGTTGAAGCATCAGCGACGATAACCATAACGATATATGACGAGGATGCTAGTGGGCGGAGCTCTTTTGAAAATAACATTGTATTTCTATTTCCGAATTTTCCTCAAAGGACTGCCGATTTTCACCCCTCTATCCCCAGCTGAGCTGCAATAAAAGTTCCAGCAGCCTGAGTGCAACATTCCTTCTCGTTATCAACAAAAGTGACGGTTTAAATGTATTTTGCCGGGTTCACATAACCTACTATAATAGGCAATTTGCGATGATACATTTTCTCTACTGTTTTGTACCCATTGTTTTGAAAGTTGAATTGTGTAAGCCCTCCGCCTCTCAAGACCAGTTCCTTTGTTTCAATTGTTGTGCATTGTAGATTAATAAGTAACAAAAGTAGTTACGTATATCTATGTGTCTCCAAATTTCCGCTGTACTGTGAATAAAATCGAACAGCAATGGAGAGAACTAGTTCTTCTATTTCCTCTTGGAATAACTTACTGAGCCTGGATATCATTACAACTTTTGATTTCTAGACTAAAATTATTCTTCAATCGGTCCTTAGAAACACAGAGTGTAGGTTTTTTAAGGATCGACAAACAAACATAATAAGAAAGGACAGAAATAGAGCGATTTGCTGTTCAAAATACAGACATAGCTGGGAAAGCGATCATACCCAAGTGTCTAAACAGAGAAATATCAAGCAAAAACATGTTTCAAAGTGTAAGATTACTCAAGACATTGCGAGACAGCTCACAAGTATAAACAATCTAATTTTATCTTTTTTTATAACCATTGATATCTTCCCTGAATCAGATTGTTTATAAAACCCTAGTAGAAATAAGCCAGTATTTTCTAAAAGGGGCGTTTTCCGGCGTTATAGAGGGCGTGGCCTAAAAAATTTCGGTCACGCCCTTTTCAGGACTCCCACATTTAGACTAGTGTGCGGTCCCTGTAAACAATTGGGAACTTTTTTCCTTTCAGATATCAAACAGTCATGAACACCGCTTTGTCAATGTTGTCAGTGCTCCTCCTTTTTGGCAGCACATATGCTACTGACCAAAATATTACAGAAGGAGACGTACAAGTGAAAATACGAGGACAATCTGGGAAGATCTCCTTTTCCAAAGGTAAGAGACCATAATAAACACAAATGTCAATCATCCTGTAACCAAAGGGGGGAACCATTTCAGTCCCTATAAGCCCCCTTGCACTAAACCTCTGCCTGTAACCGACAAAATAAATTCTCTACACACAAATTTTATGATATTCTTTGCTGTTTTGCAGCAATATTCATATGTAAGGAGCAACGGTAGAAGTAATTATGGAGTATTAGAAAGGGATCAACTCACAACCAATATAATGTGATTTGGAAAACTTATCCCTAAAATGGGATACCTTAGAAATGAAAAACAGCCGCTCAGACAGGCAAATGGAACAATTCAATGTGCTTGCCCAAGTGTGCAAAGACCTAATTTCCATCCATGGTGTCAATTTTCACCCCTCAAATCCCATACCAGCTGAGCTTAGGTGATCAAGTTGTGACAAGATAGAATAAAATAGAACTAGTTCTATAAATTCCAGCCAAATCACATGCTTTCGAGTAAGGTCTAGATACACTTGGTTTTCCTAGCATTTTCTTATAAAGGAAGTAACACAGTTTGGTTCTGATATGTCATACACCTGACTTTCTAACAAAGTTTTTATTATAAGCACAAAAACATTCAAAATTTTCATTAACTTTTTTATATTTATCATTGTTAGGAAATGCAACAGTAACTGTCAACTTTGACTACATCAAAGAATTGGATAAGGATGGCAATGAAGTTGGTGCAACGGGTAAAAAGAAGCATTCAATCAATACCTTTGCAAGAGAATCATTTACCTTCAAAACTTCTGGTTTGAGGACAGAATACCAAAACATCTCTGTCAAGCATACCCAATTTGAAGCAACAATTTCTGGTCCTGGAGCAAAACTCACTGTTGATATCTTCATCTTTAAAGAAAGTGGCAATGTTTCTACTTCTGAAAATGAAACCCTGGAAGTAAAACCAGGCACAATCAAGTTCAACATTATGTTGGGAAATTGGTCATTCTGTGGAGGACCTGAAGGTGATAACTGCAAGAAAGGGGGTTCTTCTGAAATTGGTACGCAAGTTGAGTTTGGTATTGAGATCAAGGGTCGAAACAAACCATCAAAGAAATCTAAAGCAAAAGGAAAGGGTCGTAAAGTTGAAACACTAGATTTGGGTGATGCAGATTGTACTCTTAGTGGTGAGGTAAGTGAGAAGTGTTGTTGAATATTTTGCTGTTGTATTACCATATTTCTTGGTCTTTAAGCTGGGGGGGGGGTCCGGACCCCCACTTTTCTAAAATATGGTCCTTGAGATTTGTCCAAAACGATGTAAAAATCATTGGGGGAGGGGGGGGGTAGTATACTTTATGCTTGTGTCAATAACAATTGTAAAATGCTTTGCTATTTACCATAGCTAACATGAATCAAATGATGGGGGAAAACTTTGCAAAAAAAGGTGTTTCCTTGCATTTGTGAGTGTTTGAAGGGCACGGTCCAAATAAATTTTCTGGGGGCTGTGCCCCAGACCCCCCTACTGCTACAGCTCAGGGTACGCCACTGATAAGCTGTCCAGCATATTAGTTGATCTTTCCCCTTTGGTAAGAAATTTGAATAAATATTGATAATACAGGCTCTTGCTGATCCTAATTAAGAAATTAATCTATTCATTTCAAGATCTGACTGGCAATAAATTACGACACTTGTGAGAGAAAAGGTTTTACATCTAAACCACAGTTCACACTCTCCTATCAAAAGGAATATTTTTCTGCATAAATTTCCTATAAGCTACACTTATGGCCACAAAGCAATCAAAACATATCATCATATGGTATAAATCAAGGTCTACTTTTTATGTGTATTTTATGCTAGAAACTTGACTTATAAGCCTAAAATATAGATCCTGAAAGCCCTCCTGGAGAAATCCTGTCAAAGCATTTCAAATCAAAAAAGGGTTTGGTACATTGGTTCTTAACTTTATTAGTGTCAATTTTTTTATTCTATTTTGGAAAGAGTTTTTAGAATGCTCAGTGTTTATTGTATGTTATTAGCCTACCTAGACTCCTTTTCATAGCATTGTTTGTTACGTTTGTTATATGAGAATAATAGGTCACTGGGAAAAATGCCTAAATATTTGTGCATCTAGACATGAAACTATGCATGGCAACCAGGACTGCCAAGAGGTTTTGGAGACCCAGGATAGAATTGTGTGCTGAAAAGTTTTGAAACCATTAAATATATACATTATATCTTGCTGTCTTTTTCTTGCAATAGGTCAAATCGAAAACTATAATTAGCCATACTTTATGTTTAATTAATTCCATGATTAAAACGAAATTCCTTTCATAAATCAGTCCCAGTAGACCTCAAGGCGCTTTTGCCGTTCCCACTCGGTGGAACTGAATGAAACTTTTCTAGATGCAGTGGTTTGAGTTGAATGCCCCAGTTGAATAAAGATGTACTGGTTTTAGTTGAAAGGGGGTCATTCTAAGGGCCTAACTGATGAAATTCTTGTTCCAGGTTAATGTTGATGGCTTCTGGGAAGAAATGGTTTCCTCATACCCAAAAGTTGAAACCAAAGGAGGAAAAACCTTGTTCCAATTCCGTTTTCCAAAATTCAATTCATCTGTCAAATATGATCCAACTGTTGAATTGTCTGAGGGATCTTCTTCAGGAGACAATGGAACTGTTATTGTTCCTGGTATGTTTTTCTTCAATTAACAAATAAATTGAATACTTTTGAACTATTACAAATGGAAATCTAAATTCCTCTTGGTTGCAATGTACAACAGGCTGAGAAGCTTTATGATAATGTTTCGACCAGAGGGAAGAAATGTCAAGAAACCTTCATTGGTCTTTTGTTCTGAAACACTGGTTATCTTCTGCATGTAAGCCATTTCATAAACTCTTTTCTCTTCTGCACTACAGACAAAAACATGACTGAGGGGGACATTGAAGTCATAATTCTTGGACAATCTGGCAAGATGACATTTAAAGGAAGTAAGTCTACATCTTAGTACTGATGCTTCGAGTTTATGAACATTTGAATACATCAAAAATCAAGGTACATGCAGCAACATAAATTATTTATTTTAAGAAAAAGATAGAGTTTTTATGTCATAGAAATTTCTGCTGCTACCTACCGGCATACACCCTGAGAGTCAATTTAGGATCTAGCAGTAAATTATGTATCAGATATATAAAACAAACTTTTCATTTTAATATTGCAACAGTTTTCGTTGGTATGGACTCAAGCACTGTGTTTCTTTTATAATTGCAGAGAAAAGTTCCGTCACTGTAAACTTTGACTACATCAAAGAACTTGATAAGGATGGGAATGAAGTTGGTGCAAGTGGCAAAAAGAAGCATTCAATCAATACTTTTGCAAGAGAATCATTTTCTTTTAAAACAGCTGGTATGAAAACAGAATACCAAAACATCTCTGTCAAGCATACCCAATTCGAAGCCACAATTTCTGGTCCTGGAGCAAAACTCATTGTTGATATCTTCATCTTTAAAGGAAGTGGAAATCTTTCCACTTCCAATAATGAATCACTTGAAGTGAAGAAAGGCGACATTAAATTTAACATAAAGCTAGAAAGTTGGACCTTCTGTGGTGGTTCTGGAGGAGACTCTTGCTCGAAAGGAGGTTCTTCTGAAGCTGGTACCCAAGTTGAGTTTGGTATTGAAATCAAGGGTCGAAGCAAGCCAACAAAGAAATCTAAAGCAAAAGGAAAGGGTCGAAAAGTTGAAACCCTAGATCTGGGTGGTGCTGATTGTACTCTTAGTGGTGCAGTGAGTAGAATTGATTCTTTGGCTTTGAACCAGTTATATATTTAATACCTGCCAAGAATGTTGTTTTTTCTTCATAAAATTTACTATCTGATGCTAGATAGGGATTCTAGGAAAAGGGGGCCATTTCTGGAGAGACTCTTAAATTATCTGATTTAAAGAAAAGTTTTCTAGCCATTTTTTCCAATTCTAGGCATATTGAAAGGGTATTGATAGTACATTTGATACAAGCCTCGCAAATTTAATAGAGTTGACTTTGGGGATGGACAATGGGATGAAAATATTGTATACTAGGCTTTATTTGTTTGTAACTAAATTTTAGTTGATCACATTTTCTTGTTTTTGTTTTAGAGGATTTTTAACTCATTAACTCAAACCTTGCAGTACCTGTAAATTGTTTTCTATTTTCATCTGGACTTTTGATTGAAAAAGTTAAATATTTGACCATAATCCTTTCTTGTCATTGGATCCCATATAATAGTCACTGGCCTCGAGCCTGCCAAAAAGTGACACTATTTTAGCTGTTTTTAAGGACTTTTCAGGCCCTTGTGTGTCACTGTCTGATATGGCTTGAAAATAAGAAAAATCATAATTTTTTGCAATTTCCATTAGTTACTTTATCTTTGATAAATTTTCCATTATTGTCCATCCAATTTTTTTTTGCTAAATAGCTATTTGAATTACAGTTTGCTAAAAAAGTTCCTGGCCATGCTGCTACTTTGGCCAATTAGCATATGTGGAAGGACAAATAGACAGCCTTGTTTCAGGGTAAAGAAAGAACTGTGCAGCCAATGATCTCTTTGAATAACAGGGAGCTGAATGCAGGGGTGCAGCATATTTAAGCATGAGTCTCTGTGCCAAAATGTGTGAAACATTAGCTGGAATTCATTAAATGGGCCTAAATGATGTGATTCTTGTTCCAGGTTAATGTTGATGGCACTTGGCAAGAAATGGTTTCCTCGTACCCAAAAGTTGACACCCAAGGAGCAAAAACTTTGTTCAAATTCCGATTCCCAAAATTCAGCTCATCTGTCACATATGATCCAACAGTTTCACTGTCATCAGACTCTTCTTCTGGAGGCAATGGAAGTGTTGTCATTCAAGGTATCATCATAATAATCATATTCGGTTTTATGTTTAATTTACATGCTGGCGCATGTCTTTCGAAAATTGTTGAGAGAAACATATCTCGATAGAGGCTCTCAAAATGGGGCAGAGGGAGGTTTTTCTTGAATATCTTCGACATTTTCTAATGGATCTATCTTGATAAGGAGTGATTTTCACATGTCAAAATATTGACAAAAAAAGGAGCAAAAACTTTGTTGCAAAAACTTTGAATGTATGTTGAGTGACTATGGGGTCCTCTCAACTAGGGTTGACCAGGTCATTGGCTTTCACAAAAATGAATGTCCAAAACTGTTTTCTCAAATATCAATCTTTTCTATCATTTTTGGCATATCTGCAACCTGTATTAAGAAATAAAGCTAAGTATATATACAATTCATGTCATGATAGATAAACTTGCCTAGACTCGCTCAGAACCTTTATATTATCTTCACAACAGATAAAAACATGACTGAAGGGGATATTAAGGTCAACATTCTTGGACAATCTGGCAAAATGCAGTTTAAAGGAAGTAAGTTACAATTAAATTATTTATCATTGGTACTTTTTTAACATTGATGGCTATTTCAATTCACTGGAATGAAAGGGGAAGCCCAATGGCAGAAATTTAAGGGTTGATATAATCAATTTGACTTCATATATGGCTAATGTATTTCAAAAGTTGGATTATTAATGACTTGACCTTGAAGAGTGGAAAAAGAAAAGGCTGCACAAATATGTTACAAGGAAAAGTCTAGTTGCATCAATAAGCCAAAACAGAGTTATTGATGTTTAATGAATCTGAGAAGCTGATAATTGAGGAGCAAAAGAGGGTATTTTGAACATCATACCGTATTTCCTCTAAAAAACACTGCAGCTTTAATTAAAAAACCAACTTTTGGATGCAGCGTTTAACAGAGGGGAAAAAAGGGCAGCATTAAATACAAAATGAAAAGTGAGGGGCAGATAAAAAATTACAAGAAAAATGTGATAATAAAGATAGAAACAGACTTTAAACAATATTTTCTTTTTCCAAACCACATAATAAAGATTGTGTGAAAAATGTTTTAAAGACTACAAAAAAATGTGTTCAAGGAATGTCAATGTCACTGTTTCTGTTAGAGTCCTAGTCCCAATGACATAAAAACTTTCATAGCTTTCGAAAAGTAAGTGTATAAACTATTTGTTACTTCTTGCTTGGTTTTTCCAAGTTGTCATGTTTAACAGCGTTTATCAGAGGGCAGAATTTATTACAAATTGTTGGCTGAAAGTGCAGCATTCAATAGAAAGACATTTATATGAGAGCATCTCTAATTGGAGGAGATATGGCACTTCTATTCAAAGCCTTTATATTATCGAAATAAACTTTACATTTTAATATTGCAACAGTTTTCTTTGGCAAAGACTCAAGCATTTTGTTTCTTTTTTAATTGCAGCGAAAAGTTCGGTCACTGTAAACTTTGACTACATCAAAGAGTTGGACAATAGTGGAAATGAAGTAGGTGCAACTGGCAAAAAGAAGCACTCGATCAATACATTTGCAAGAGAATCATTTACCTTCAAAACATCTGGTTTGAAAACAGAATACCAAAACATCTCTGTCAAGCATACCCAATTTGAAGCAACGATTTCTGGTCCTGGAGCAAAACTCACTGTTGATATCTTCATTTTCAAAAACAGCGGCACTGTCAAAACTTCAAATGATGAGTCACTTGATGTAAAGAAAGGAACAATCAAGTTCAACATAAAGATAGAGAGCTGGACATTCTGTGGAGGAGCTGGAGGTGACACTTGCTCAAAAGGCAGTTCTTCTGAAGTTGGAAACCAAATAGAATTTGGAATTGAAATTAAAGGTCGCAGCAAAGCATTAAAGAAAACCAAAGCTAAAGGAAAAGGTTCTAAAGTTGAAACACTTGATTTGGGTGACGCAGATTGCACACTTAGTGGAGAGGTGAGTAGCAGGCTTCCTAAATTTTTTGACAAATATTTGCTATTGTAAGGGTCTTTGTAGATTTTAATTATACCATTGCATATTTTCTACTTAAAATATCTTTCCTGAAATATTCTATCTTTTTCTCAACAAATATCCAAATGGTTAACTGTTTTTGTTGACTGCATATCATAAAAGTTGACCTCCCTGCTTTCAACACTACATCCTTCTGGTAACCCATGACATCAACACAAATAAATTTCAACTTCTAACAATTTCCCTGTGCTTAATTAATTATAACAAGAACATTCAACAACAATTGATAAAATTATCCAACTTTGTTTACAGCTTGGTTTCATTATGACCAAACCGCCACTGATTCAGTCAATTATCACTGAATTAAATTGAGCCTACAGAACTTTATTGCTGATGATGAATTTTGTTCAACTACCAAAGCATTAGTTCTTTATTGTGTACAAAGGATGGCTACATTTTGTATAAATTCAAGCTACTTATACTTCTTATAGGTGGTGTTACTTACATGGGGGTCTGCATAATTTGGCTTGTTGGGAGGAGGTGGTGTCATAGAAGAGGTGCCCCTGCTTTTTTTCCTGAATGAAATGTTTCATAATTGAAAGTTCTGTTAATTAAATTTTTTCTTTTCCCAAAAGGTCGATGTAGATGGAACTTGGCAAAAAATGTCATCTGGTTTCCCAAAAGTGGAAGAGAAGAACAGCAAGCAACTGTTTATTTTCCGGTTTCCAAAATTCAGTTCATCTGTCAAGTATGACCCAACCATTGACATGGCACCTGATAACTGGCCTTCTGACTCTGCCTCTGGCATGCAAATTGGCATTTTATCTACCGTTATGGCAATTGCTGCACTTTTGAGACTGCTTTTGCTGGGATGAGTTTCATGCTGACACTTCTTGTGATTTTCGTGGGAAATTTCCAAGTGAAAAGATCTCATTTTCTTGTTATGAAGTGCAAATAAGAACTGCTAATAATAATCACATTATCTTTATTTCTGATGAGGGGCATATGTCATTCATACATAAATGTAGTCATGTGAAATCCCGTGGCCCTTAGGAGAATACTTTTTGGGGGTGAAATTTTAGCAGTGTGTGAGTATTTCTTGGTACATCAATTCTGAGTAATTTACTTCATTTTGGGAGGTTGCATAATTTTTTATACTGTGCTGGCAGTAGATGTTAACATGTTTTCTGTGAAGTAACTTAGATAATCAAGTAGCAATATTGCATTGTTAAGATAACAAAGCACAAGAAGTATAGTTTATCTTCTTTACTTTATCATTTAATGGATTGATTTTTCGTAATTAGAGCTTTTCATATATGAAACTTATTTTTTGCAAGGATGTACACAAAAACTGACCTAGTTAAATTATCTTCTGAAACTATTAACTTCTGATGTAAATTGTGACACATGACTGATAACAAAATATTTGTTACATGAACTATATAACATTAAATTAAATTATTCCAAAAGTTGATTTTCTGCTCATATTCTTTGGTCATAAGTGAACCTTTGGATTAATGCTAATAATGAATTCTTTTTTATTAATCATGACAGAGGTTAGGACTTAAGATGTTGGTGGAGGTCAACAGAAACTGAAGAACTGCTATATTGAAATATACTAGGTCAATAACAAATGTATTCATCTAGATGGACAATTCAAACTAACTGGATCTGAAAGAAAAGAAAATCCCAAAAAATTGAAAAATTTAGAGCAACACAGAAAACTAACACATGGGGGGAAGCCCCCCCCCACTTTGTCAGAAAGTCGACCCTTGAGATTCTTTTAAACTTGATGAGAAAACTTTGGGGGGGGGATATGTACGTTATCTAGATTTCTTGGGAGACAAGAGTTGAATCCTTCGGAAGAAAATGTTTCAATCAGGGGGAAAGAGCGTGGTACAAAAGGGCGTGGTCCCTGACACACCTTTCCCCCGCCATTTTTCCAAGGCTGGAGGCACCACTGAACATATTGGCTAAAAGGTTTTTCGTCTGACACTCCTCAGAGCATAAAACGTTAGAATAAGGGTCCGACAGAACACGATGAAAAATATATACCCAGTTGTGGATCGACATAGGCCAATAAGAAAAACGCAAGCACAAGACTGGTATAGTTGACCAATCAGTGCTTTGTGCCTATAGAAAAATACCCACTGGAGTCTAAGAGAGAAAACGAACTCCTTCTGTCTACACAATGACGGCTTTTTCGTTTGTATGTAGATCGATCCCAAAACTGCTAGATGGAAAGACGACCCGGCTCTGCCAAAACATGTCGTCATTATATAGAGTTTTGCACAATCTGGGTTGTCTAAAAGATGTTGGCCGATGGCAGAATCACTTGTTTTAACAGTGTTTCTATACCTAAAAGATCAAGGAGGCTGTTCTCTTTGCGGGGCAGTTTTGTTTATTATGTTGGAAGGAACATGTTGTTTTATCCTGCCCCCAATCTTTGGGTTGTGCGTCCTACGTAGACAGAATCAATAGGCAATATAAAAAGTAGGACTAGCGAATATCGAAAAGTGTGCGAAAAATTCGCTTATTCTCTTGCTAAATATTTTATTTCAATTCGTAACTTCCATCGATGCAAAATCATTTAGCGTGCGACTGAGATAAAGTATGATAGTATTCTTGCATCACAATGAGCGGAGTTCTATCCGTAGCAGGGGAGGTTTGACCAGAGGTCGTGGATTCGAGGAATATGAATATGCCACATTGCTAAATACGATGATGGATTTTGATCATAAATCCTGTCAAAATATTTGTGGCCCCTCTAGCTGCAGGGGCCCTGGGAACAGAGCCAAGTGTGCCCTGTGGTTGACGAGGCAACAGTAGCGTAGTGGAGGGGTATCTCGGCATAATGCCATTATCCTTTCTCCCTTCCAAAAACTTTGGGCTGCAGCGTTAAACTATCTAATGAAATGAACAGTGGCGTTCGGCTTCTTAAATATTAGTAAAATTCTAGATACCAAGCTATATTTTTATAAGAGTTTTAATACCAGTCTCAACCAAAGCTTGACATGATGGGTATGAAACTGGTGAACAAAGTCCTCTCGTTGATGTTTTCACGCAATCAAAAACAGAAATAATGCTTATATTTTTAACACTGTATGGAACAATGTTCTTTTAAAAAAGGGATTTAAGCGCTGATTCGGTTTAACTTTGCGCAATACTACCTAAACCGTATTGGGAACAACAAGAAACTCTTTGTGGAAAACAGACCAAAAAGAAATGCATTTTGACTGAACTTTATTTGCCTCATATGTTTATTTTATTATATCATATTGCATAGAAATACAACACGCATTATCAAAAATATTTTCCAGAATGTAAATATCCAAAAGTTTTTGATCATCCTAAAGTTTTTAATTTTATTTCATTTTGCATATCTTGAATAATCAAACTTCCAATATGACATCCAGGCACTGCAGATAATTTCTGTTTTGAAGAGTTTGGTAAACATTGTCTTTGTGACGAAAAGGAATCTTTCTGTGGCCAAAAAGTTGGTGGCCACAAACTTCCGAGTCAACCTAGCATTGGGGCACCTGTCTTAGTTAGTGAAAGAGTGAGCCCTCTTAGCACTGTAAGTAAATAAAGGCAAACACTGTCTTCTTATACGAATGCAGTATGGCTATTGGCAGCATACTTAATAAAACAAAAAACAGGGTTCATGCAGAATATCTGATTTTAAACAACATGACTCTTCCCAGTCATCTCTTTGGCTTGAGGTACAAATTGTAGATAGTTCATTGGCCAACGAAGGTATCAAAAAAGCAGACAACTGGGGACAGGGACTTTTTTTGCATCCATACGCAATCAATAAAAGCAAAAGAAATGCCTACAAAAAGTGCAGTAGCAAGCTTATCAAATACATTATAGCTAGGCAGTAAGAAACAGATTTCCCAAGTGCCCAAATTAGGTTGTGAAACAAACTCTTGACAAATTTTACTTACTTTTGCTAACTCAGACAACGTCCCTGATTTTTCGGGTTTCCCCAAACTTTTTTAGGTTTCCAAAGAACTTTTCTAAAAAAAATATGTTTTTACTTCCCAGGTTTTCAAAATTCTGTAGAAAGCCTGCAAATCCTGAACAAATAATTAATGTAATTCAAAGTTAATGGACATATCTCAACATAAAATATGAGCAAAAACCTACTTGCAGAGGTGCAATGTCAGTTATCATTTCCAAGGACATAATCAATTCTTGAAGACACCAATTTACATCCAGATTCGGAAAACATCATTTCACAGTCAGGATAGAAATCCATTTGGGCTAGAACTTTTCTAGTTATATGTTCCCATTCCTCTTTTACAATGTTGCGCTTTGAAAGCTGTCTTTGTATACATATTCTGAGATGCTCCTTATCTAATGGCAAATATAATAAAGGTATGATTTTGCTGTTTTTCTCTTGTCTGTCAGTTAGGGCTAACTCATTTACAGTCAAAGACAAATGGCTAAGTAAGTTTCCAGAATCAATTCTAAGCCTTTGCTCTCCAAATAAACATCTCTCAGACATGAATCTTTTTGTTTCATCTCCGTATACTGAGGTAACAATGATGATGATTACTTTATTACATTTAGAAACAAGTGTAGAGGCTGTAACTCTATATGCAACATCCATAACTTCTAAGAGTTCCCTGTCTGCATCCTCAAAGACAAATAATATGTTGCTGTTTTCTTCAAGGAATGGAGAAGACTCACACAAGCCTAGATTCACAGGAGATGGATCATTAAATCTTTGCACAATTTTGAAGCCATGCTCATGAAAAGCACCTTCCAAGATCTTTCTTGTAAAGCTTTTGCCACTGCCTGATGGTCCTACTAGCAGTAAAATGGCACTTTTGACACTGCTATTAATTAGTGACAATTTGAAATCACCTTTAATAGCATCAATTACCAAATGTTGTCCAATCAATTGGTACTGAAGGCTATTTTCAATTTCCTGGGACATACTCTGAAAATCAATTTTGTTCTCTCCTTCATTTACGTCAAACAAAAGAGAGCATATGATTCCAATAAAAATTGGGCAAAAGCAGATGACAATAAAGCCAATAATGCAGTTTGAGCAAAATCTAGATTGAGAACTTTTCATATTGCTTTGCTTTTTCTTCTTTTTTGACGAGGAATCAATCAAGTTTCTATTTTGATTGGCAATCTGGTTGGACAGGCCCTTTTGAAAAAGGTTGCAATCATCGCTGGCTGATTGGTTTTTGGTAACACTGTGCCAGGAGGGCCTAGAAGTCAATGAATACAGTTCGTCAATACCTGTCTTTACCTTTGCTGCTGGAGATGACAAGAATCTAATCATTCTACCATTGTCAGAAGATCTGTTATGCTGTTTAGACCACGAGCCAGACTGAAGGGTCTTCATTGCAACCACACTATTGTCACTTTTTTTAGGCCTAGAATAAGTAATTGAGCTCGCTTTTAGAAGGGGGGAGCCTTGACATATTGATGGAATAGTGGTTTTGGTAACATCTGAATCTGAATATAGGCATTGAAGTGACCTTTTGTTCAATTTTTCAGACTCTCTGTTTCCATATGTATCATAGAAGCCAAGTTCACTGAAGGTTAGACTCATCCAATTCATTTCATTTTCTGATTCAGAAGATTGAAAAGTCATCTTAAATCCACTCAGAAAGTCTTCTTCCTATTATGAAATATATTTTATGTGTAACATATGCTGTTAAAAATCCATACAGAAGATACAAATTTTATAATTTAAAAAAAAATTTCTGATAAATGCAGAGGCAGATTTCTAGGGTCGTTCAAAACACCCTCCTTTCAGGCTTTTATTTACTGTTGTTTTTGTAAGATCTGTCAACCTCAAATTTTTTTAAAGGCATAAAATATAGACAGTATTATAACTAAATAATTAGCGTAACAAAAATAGATTAAGTCTTACAGTCAACTCTGCCTAGTTATTACTCATTTATTTCAAACTTTTACTAATTTGAAAAAATTCTCAGGTCCCTTGCAAATCTCCAAACAAACCATTCTAACAAACCATTTGAACTCTCCCACTGTTTTTTAGAAATTAGCTGGTAATAAAAGTACTGCATTTTTTCAAATTCTTTTAAAATTGACATTATTGTAATTACTAGTTGTGATTCAAGTCATTTACTTCAACATTTGAAGGGCAAAGGAAAAAACTAAGTTTGCAGGATCTTGATTCGCCCCATGCTGTGCTGACCAGTGGGCATTGCCTGTTTGTGTTGCTTTCTTATTAAAAGACCAATTGACTAAAAAGCCTTTTTCTTTTTTTACAGTTGCAGTGCCAGTTTTAACTTTATGGATAAAGGGCACATACATCTCATGTAGGGATAGTACCTGAGGCAAGAGCCAATGGTGTAGTGCTATCAAGATAAAAAGGTGGCACCTTGCACATAATATTGCTAAAAACAATAGCAAAGTAGAAAATTTTTATGTTTTGGCGCATTAACAAGGGGGGCTCAGCCCCTCTAGCACTATAGGCAAGAACCAAGATTATCGAAAACTAGCATAAATCGAGCATAAATACTTTTCAACAATTTTTGGCTTTCTACCAAATCGCATGCCAATGTATTCCATTGCATATAGGAAAGTAGCCATTCTGGTGTTCAGATGTGTATTATTATTATTATTAACAATAATCCAGTGTATCAACTCACGTGTCACGGATTGGATGGTGTACGCTGATATCGCGGTAGCATATTTCAAATGAACTCAAGATTAAAAAAGACAAGGAAAGAAATATATTTGGACGACTTACCAATTTGAAACAAGAGGATATCCTTCACTGTGAAGATCACTGCAAGATGATATCCTTTTCTGAGGCGTTATGCAATATGGCTGCTGCAAAATGAGAACGAGGCCCCATGGCGGGAAAATCAAAGCAAACTGTGCAAGATGTTATTCTGTTTTTCACGGTTTTGAATTGTGGTTTCAGGTAGTTTTATTTGTTTGAAATAACGAAACAGTGTGAAAAGTCGATTCTTTCTACGGCTCTGGGAAGAGAATGTCGGCCCATTGAAAACGCAAAAAATTGCCAAAGAGGTAAGAAAAATAATGGAAAGAGTTGGTTCTGTTCTATCCAATATGTGAAATTTTCCTGTTATTCTTCCTACAGATATGGCGTGAAAATGGCGTGGAACGACTCCCTAGAATTTTATACATAAAGTCGTCGTCGCTTATAGTCAATCTACCGTGTACAATCACAACCACATAAGTACTATCGAACATTCCTGCAATCAAATTTTACATAATATGACAGCTTTACACAACCCATTCTTAAACCCCTGAACAGTTTTAACATTTTAGAATAATGGTTACAGGAAACTTATGAATATTGCCTATATAAAACTTATGAAAGTTTTTTCTGGCAATACCTGCCAGTTTTTCTTTGAAAAAATGACAAAATATCCAGTATCCTTTTGATACACATAAACGAACTGTATATAGAACCAGTCCCAATGTCCTAAAGGTTCTCAATCTCACAAACAGAGAAACTGGGAGAATAACACAAACAATAAGACACCCGTAAGAGCTTAAGAAATACTTGTTAAATCAAATCTTCAAATGGATGAAGTCAGCAATAATTTAGGATTTCAATTGTTACCATATCAAATACAAAACAGAGCAATTTACAAAAGGAATAAAACTGGCTGACATCTTAATGAATTTAATTATTCTTATATCATCTTTATTATCTGATCACTATACTTTCTGTATGTAGAAAAAGTTGCAGCTTGTTGAAAGGTACCCGGGAAGCTAAAAGCGGAAAGAGCTCATTTCTCTAGCTTGTATGTTTTAATTTATGCCTGTCTCTGAATTTTTCACAAAATTCTATTTCTCTCCTGAAAACATATCCCTTTTTTACATTTGCATACCCCAATATGCATTTGGAGAACCATACAAAACATCTGCAGAGAACAGCAATATTTGCGATCTTTTCCCGTCTATAATACTTTATTTTTGCACTCTATCATGGCCAAATGCGTTCAAAAAACCGCTAGTTGAAATGTCGAACATAAATAGATTCAGACAACTGAATCCTGTACCAAAGGTGTCTTTGTCCTGAGAATTCCACTGTCATAAAGTCGCTTGACAAACTGGAGCTAAAATCAAATAGAGAATCATAAGAAAATATCACACTAGGTTGCAACAAATTTTATTATTTTTGATAGAATGCTGAAAGAACTATAATCACAGGCTTGTAAGCTGCCTACTTTGATATTGTCTTTCAAAGTCAACGTTTAAGATGAATTAAATTCTTAACTATAGGTTATTTCAAATGCAAACTGGAAAAATTTACTTATCTTCGAAAGCACTATCTTATTTTTGAATGTACATTGAAAACCCTACTGGAAAATTGCTAACTTGGACACATTTACTCCCATTTAAGGCAGGCGCACATCGGCAATTTTGGTCGCAAGTAACTGCGATTTTTGTTTTTTGTGACGTATTAAGTGTGCGGCGGAAGGAAACAAGAGGCTTATGTCATCTGCGACCAAGAACAAACGTCTATCATTCTATTTTTGAAATTATGAACATTTGAAATCAGAAATCTTTGGTTTCGAGAACTCTTTCACGAGATTAGAGAACATTCTTACTCTCGATATCTAACAGCGTTTAAGATCAACAACAAATTTTAAATTAAATGCAACTGGCGACAGGATTACCTTTTCCTTGGACTTTCTCAAAGGTACATCCTCGACTTTAATATAAGTCGGATAGCTGTTAATGATGTACTCGGCGGCATCAAGTTCCTGAGAAAAAGTGATTTTGAAAGTTCACAAATACAAAGACAATTGATCTTTCAAATAACAAAGAATCAGAGAAGCTTTGTCTGTGTCTACATTAATCATACAGTTTCAATATTGGATTTTCGGAAATTATTAAAGGTATTAAGGATATTATCTTAGCTTGAATAAAAACAAATCAAAATATACTTCAAGATAATCATTTAATCAACACTGCTTATCAATGAACGGATGCAAAATACACTTGTTACTTCAACCACTACGAATAGCCATCTTATAAAGATACTGATATTAATTTTGAAACTTTTTGGAAAGAAATGTTCAAATTTACACTGCAGTTTCTCATATAACTATTATAAGATAAAATGACACTGCCAGAAACCAGGATCAAGATTATCTGCCTACGTAAGATTTCAATGAGGCAACATTCTGAGCTTGGATGGAAATCATTGACGACGACGGAGCAGACACCTCATCCTTTTCTATAAAATAGTCAACAATCTGACTTCAGATCGCAGGCGCGCTACAGTTGGGCAAATAGGTGCAAGAACGCTAGGATCCAAATTAGGTTTCCAACCAAACTGCTTATGGGAATGGGAAAGGCTCGACCCTGAGATTAGACTACCAAGCTCTGTAAATATTTTAAAAAATTACGTTCAATTATCCGCCCACCTCCAAAGTTAGTCTATCCCTATCGTATCTATCCTAACACAGCTATGGGCACGACTCGGTAAGCAAAATTTTGGTAAACCCAAGCATAATTCCAGGGATACTTTGAACCTCTTAAGCCCAACGAATAATGGTGTTGAGGACACAGCACTGTTTTATGCTCTGCCATACTTTTATGATGCAAATAGACGTGATCTTCTTGACAGTTTAAATGCAATATTGTTGCCTCACGGTTTGATAAATCTTTCAAATTAAGAGTTGTTCAAAGCCATCCTGGCAGTTATCATTCGATTTAAATGCAAAAATTCTTACGGCAACACTAGAGTATATCTAGGCCTTTAAACGGTTCGAAAAATTCAAGAACAAAAACCTTTAAATGTCCTTTTTATTTCCCTTGTATTTATTTATTCATAAAATCGTTCTACGTGTATGTCTAGTGCCATAGAGGCAGTCGTGATACACTTCTCCTCCTGGCCGTCCTTGTAAAGTAGTTTCGTTAAGTAAAGTTTATGTGATTTGTGTGTAACTTTTCACATCGAATAAATAAAAAATACATTCTGAGCAAGAGATAAGATTTCAATAGAAAATCTTATCAAATTTAAATTTATATGTATGTTTGAAATCTTGTCACAATTTGATGATATAGAACTTTGTAGGTCTTCAATATTTGAAGAGTTTTAACAGATGCCTACTAGTCTTTAATTGTACACAGCTACCCAATATCAACATTTTAATTATCATTACTATTATTATGGCGAACTTGTCAATTTCTAAGTTATATGTGCAAATCGAGTCTACCTTACGTGTGCCTAGCAGTGTGGGTAGAATGGAAGAATGCAAGGATAAAATACCTGTTTTGATATTTTGATTGTTTGGGCTGGGAATTCATGATAACTCCTTGAGTTTTCCATCGAGTGATGAATTATTCCTCCATCTTCGTCGCCAACTAGCCTGTGATACAAATTTCCTGTGTTGTTTTTGAAACAAAGTTGAGCACGAAGTGAAATGAACTGGGGGTGAGGATCAATTATTCAACCTCTTCAATTGCACCTACATTTCTTGCCAAAGTCCTTGATACTCTTTTGTAGCTTAAGTGCTTTCTTGGCGAATTAACATTTACTAATAAAAGGAGCCGGCATTGCACTCCTTCTCTCCCAAAGGAAAAAATTGGTAACAGAGTTAGCCTTGAAACTATCTGATAGGATTTGATTGGACAATGCTGAAATTTCGAAAATCAAACAAAAACAAAGGGGGAGAAGGCGATGGTAAAATTGGTAGCCAGGGGCCATCACAGTAGTTTAAGCATTGAATAGGCAATGAATTTTGAGACTTACTTACCTAGCAATGTCTGGTCGTATTAAACGAAATTCGCTGTCTGGGTGAAGGAGTGACACTCCACGAACATGGTTGTTATCCCAGAATGCACCACTGCCATGGATGCTGCACATTAACTCATCTAAAAGTACCATATAGTGAAATAGTAATGTTTCATGCAAAAGATGTACTAATGAAAAGATCGGAAATGCCGTACCCAGGTAGCAGTTTGCATATTTAAAATCACATTAAAACACGCTTTCCATCCTCAAAAATATAGAAGTACCATCAACGCTAATATCTGGCGAATACACTATCTACAAACCTTATCAGAATTTTTGGAACAATCGAGCAAAGCTGAGAGCGTCTTTTATTTTGAAAAATGCTTCTCTTCCCCCCCCCCCCCCTTTCAAAATGTTGAGATAAGATAAAACTTTTTCACTGAAAGTAAAAGATGCTTAAAGGATATTGAGAAAATAAATCGACTTTTTACGAAGGGGTTGGTGACACATATGTATGGCTGTAACAGTGACATATCGTGAAGGTATACAAAGGTAGAAATTTTCGTCTGACTCTGTGGAGCACAACCGACCCTAAATTCAAGAGCAATCTTAATAATTGTTAGTGCTTTAATAATAAGACTCAATAGACGATATAAAATACATGAATTTGGAACTTAATTGAAAAATTAGGAGCTAGAAAGACAAGGAGGAAAACAAAATGAAATGACGTTGAATGGCCAACACCGAAAGTAAAAAAATTATTTTTCAATGCTTATACGTTTATACCATCAGCAGCTAAAAAAGGTTAAGACACAAACAATTTAAAAAAAATGAATACCTTTCGTAAGAACAGGAGGTAGTTTATCTTGAAGCGAATCAACAGCCATCTGCAGAAGTTTTATAAAAAGAAAACAATTGATACGGAGGATGGTACTTTAAAAATTTGATCAACCGGAGATCAACGAATTAGAGAGCCCAGTTCCCCGTTTGCAAACGACACATTGACCTATCCTAAGTAACAAAGGTATTTATAATTTCATGCTCCGTAAACATGAATGGGTGAAAAATCAATCGAAAATTCAAATCAGTGAGGGTCAAATTTGCTCTACCTCGCTTTCTATTCAAACAACTGTACTTAGGAGTTTGAGATGGGACAACGCATGAAATTGGTGTCAAAAAACAAAGCGACCCTGTTATTCATTGTACTTTGCTTTCCACAACATGAAGGGGTATCACTCCTATCGTGCAAATTAAAAATTGATTATAGGAAACAAGATGTCTTAAACCATATCCAATTGAAGGAGGACAGTACCTCATCTGCGGTTACGTCAATCGGCGCAAATGTTGAGAGCTTCATCACCAACTGCTGGACTCTTTTGAGAAATTCACTGCGCTCAAACGATATCTACAAAGAAAAGCAAATTATGATTCTGATTATGTCAACAATAATGGTGATTGCCAGCGATGAAGACGATGATTGATGATCATGATTTCAAAGACGAGAATGATGATTGGCGATGGTCATGTTGGTTTTAAGGACGAGAATGATGATTGGCGATGGTCATGCTGAATTCAAAGACAGGAATGATGGTTGGCGATGATGGTACACCGGCTTTATAAATGATTGCAGCAAAGTTCTTCATATAATCTCACCTTTTCAGAATTACACACACCAACATGGTCCAAATAACCAATCGGTAAGCCCTTGCGAAACTCGGTATCCTCCTCCATGGCGACTTGAAGGGCTCGGGGCAGAAGCTACAAAACAGAAGATCGGCATGCACCTTCAACAGTAAGCAATAATATAAAGCTAATACTAGAGAATTCTTCAGATCATCTGGAGTTTTTCCTTATAGCTCTAGCAGCTAAATGATTATTCGTTTGAGCCATCGTGTTTCTTTCATTTCCATACAAAGCTGTTTCTAAAGTGTTTCCCTGTTGGTCACACCGGATCATGCTCTAAAGACCTTTCACCTCTTTGCCATCTTCTCAGTTCTTCCTGGCTATAATTTTTAGAGCTTGAATAGCTTTCCTAAACAATCTCTAGAAAACTACTTATCATTTGGTACTCTTATTTAACATAACTGTTTTGGTTACTACCTAGTATCCAAAGGTAGGTTTAAGACCACCGAGAAGCTCTGCTTGTCATGCAGTCTCCTGGTGCTTCTTCTTAATGCATTCATACCACATGATTCCCATGCCTGGAATTGCAGAGAGCTGTCTATACCCCTTACTCAAAGTGAATGTTCAGTCATGTCAGTGACTTGAACCAGGTAACTTTGGATCTATATTCTGCAACCCTGACCACTGAGTCATCCTTGCACAATTTAATATGAATATGTAGTTTGTACTCTATATCAATGTAAATGATTAGCCATGTGTAACAACTCGTACTGAAACGGGACCTCATTACTGAAGGTTTGACTTGGCGACAAAGTGATGCTGACATCACCGTTACTGTCCTTTACAGTTCTGATCATGGCAAAATCTACTATCAATTGGTGCAGGTATTTGTATTCATAATCATTAGCATTTGCAAGTGTTAGGGCCTGATGAGCGATCCTATTTAGATACTAGAGCCATGTGATTGAATTCCTAGCCTAGAATGCCTAGTTTGTTTATCAAATTCTCTTATATTAGATCCTGTTTTGCAACAAACTATTTTGTATCGAAACTTACTTTCTCTAGGAAATCACCCCACGTGTTCTGCTGGTAGACTGATAGTGTTATATGCAGTGAATGTGTGTCTTCGAGAGTTGTTGCTTGATGGATATAACCACGTGGAAAATACAGGCAATCTCCTGGCTCAAGTGTTTTATCCAATATGGGTTCTCCTACAGATTCCTCTGACAAATTTTCTGTAAGAAAAGAAGCAGATGAATATAACAGGTTCCAAAAAACTTTCTCTACTGTGAACAAGACCAATCTAAAAGAATATTTTGTGTATAAATAAGGTTTTGAGGACGGCTCAAGGTATGCAGAAGCAGTTCCAGTTAACAAAAGTTCAAGCTACTGGCACTTTGAATTCTCCAGATTTTACTGAGTCTCCTCCCGGGAGGCTACAGCTCAACTGTGACGAGCAGGTGACAGCAATCCACTATTTTTATCTCTTCATAAATGCAGTAAAAATATGTTAATCATATAAATTGCTGAAATTCTAAAGTTCATACCACTGGAATACCTCGGCAGCACCTCAGCAACATTTCTAAGGGAAGATAAATGCACTGATACAATGAACTTTGAAGGGGGCCAAAAAGTTTGTAATTATAGCAGGAAGCCACGGCAATATGTTCAGCATGATTAAGGAGGCCAGATGTCAGGTTTACTATACGAGACAGTTTATTGCATCCGGGAAGGGATCATTAAGTCCGAACTCAATTCCTTAAATATATTTATAATATTTATAAAAACTAGGAAAACAGCCTTTAAAATAGCTATCTTCTCTATCATTCCTATCTTAGGGACTGTGATATGATAAAGCTGCTTATTTATAAAAACGATTAAGCTTGCAGGAAAAATTAGTTTGGATTGATTTAATTGAATTGTTGACATAAGACAAGAATCCATCTAAAGATTGCTTTATAAAACTGACCTTGGTGAATAAAGTCGCCATTGTTTTTTACCTTCCAGCTGGATAACAAAAGCTTCAATGTCATCAAAATGTGGCGCAAAGCCCTGGCTACCTGGTGGCGTCAAATACCTTGAAAAAAATTCGAAAATAAGACTAGATTCAACCCTACGTTTAAAATAACATAATAAAGACTTGAATTTTGGCACAAAATAGCGGAAATGTTTCCAATCACAATCAGGTGTTAAATGAAAATAAATTTTCTTGGGTTTTAAAAATCAACTCGTTAAAATACAAGCGATTAAAAAACCACATCAACCAGCAAACGGATCGATAATTGCAACATTGGACTCATCGATAACTGAAGTTTTAAAAGATGATCCCTCTCCTCCTAAATCTAGGAAAGTAATTTTTTATAGAAATACGAGAAGCACAAAAGAGCAATACTTTGTTAAATTATGAGGTCAGCACTTACATGTTGGCTCCAACAAATGCACCAAAATAGCTTTGCAATATCGAAGTCAACCTCCACACTGACTTTGAAAATGCTTGCGGATTCAACATTCGTATTGAACACCCTTTCTGCATATTTAAAAAAATGACTATGGTTTGAATACCATTAGACATAGCAAATAATAGACTTTAATTGATAACAATGAAATTATAGACTTGCAAATATCTAAAAATGTTAATAAGATGTTAAACAATCACTGGCACCTACAGAGGTGGAAAAAGTATCGGAACCTGGGAATGTAGTTCCCAGAAATTTTTCTGGATGAAAATATTAGCAGAAAGTTTCAAAGACAAGTTTTGAAGTGTTAAAGTAAATGTAAAAATCTGGTGACAAGAGTTAAGTCAAATCAGCATTTAATATTATTTCAACTTGCCTGTAAGCATCTAAATATGAGCTACCAATGGACTGTCAGGTATAGCCTCTTTCCATTGGAAAGAAATTCTTTGTGCACATTCACCATCTCACAGAAATCTCAACCACTCACCATCAAAATTTTTTTTGGTAGCTGAGCTTTTTAGACAAACCATTGTTTAGACTGAGATTAATATAGGGACTGGAATCTACTTTCACAGAAATTATTTCTTGTACTATGGTGTGAGCAGCATTGGTCATAAGTTAATATGCTTGGTTAAAGTAATTTGGTGCATGTTAGGACTCCATTTCAACCATAGATTTCTTCACACTTGTCAAAGAATAGGCTGTGTTAAGCCTTCTCCGTAAAATCATAAAAGATCAATATCATATAAATATCAACTACGTAATAGCTTTAATTGCTGACAGACTAGACAGCCAGGGGCGGACACTTGATCAAATATTGGGGGGGGGGGCAAGCCTATTGCTTTAATAAAATGACGTCACATTTCTCATTGTTTTAGAACAAAAGACCATTGTCCCCTCGCCCCCAAGTGTCCGCCACTGTAGACAGCATATCAATCAGATAAATAAAATAAATCACCTCATAAAAATCCCATACAGTTGGTGGATGAGCTCTTCCTTCAGGGTTCAAAGTTTCTCTTCTTCCATTTGTGTACTTTGTTATATCAAGATTGACACCATATTTTACTTCTTTCTGTGAATAAAGAAATTTGGTGAAAAAATAAGAAAATCTGCAAAACAGCAAACCTAGAATGATGAAAAGTGAACCTGAAATTTCTTGGATTGGCATGGATTTACAATCACACCACTTAATTGCGATTGTCTACTGATCAGAACTGTTGCTATTCTTGTTTTCTGCTTTTAATTTTGTCAACATAATGTTATCTTAGAAATATCATGTATTGAATGTGTGAAAGGTTATTAATTATCAAGGATACAATAACCATAGATAAAATTCACTAGCCAAATTAAAAAAGAAAAACCAGATAATTATCTGTCTTACAAATTCTTTGTCTGTCTTCAAAATTAACAAATAAATTAGTAACATGTCTACTTGAGAATGTCAGGACCTGGAGTGGGAAAAGCATTTTTCTAGCCAACATGTTTGGTTAGCAAATTTTTCCTTCATCCTTGACTGTTACTATTATATCTATGGCATTTGCATCCACTTTACAAGATTCAACAAATTTCTATCTTCTTTACATAAATAAGCTGCTTTCAAAAATAATTTTCATTTTTCAACCATTCATTTGCTTCTTTGCAAACTGATATAGAATGAACAAAATACAAAAATACCGAAATAACTTATTTATTCTAATATAAGTCGCAGCTTATAATCATTTTTTTGCACATTTTGATGCAGTTTATAATAAATGGCCACTTATAAACAAAGGTTACATTATTTAATCCAGATCCTGCCAAGCTTTCCTAATGCCTTGAAGCTGAGGGTGATAATGTAGAAGATGAGGAAGAAATTCTTTTAAACGCTATCGATTATCCTATGTTGGACCATATTGTTGTTAAGTGTACTTCTAATGGTTATTTTTTGTTTATGTCCACAATCAGGTTTTATTACATTTTGTGCCTGTCATTTCAAACCAAGTATCTCGGTATGGCTTTGTGGGTGTGGCTTATAATCAAGGGCAGCTTACGTTTTTTATTAACACAATTTGCTGTTGCTTATAATCGAGGACCGCTAACAAATAAGGGTGGCTTATAATCGAATAAATATGGTAGCTCATAAATACAACCACTTTAAAGTATGTATACAGTCACAATCTGACTTTGATTCTGCCATTATTGGGTTTAGAAATGCAAATAAAAGCATGTGAAACTTCCTTAGAGAATAAAGTCTTTGTTTATGAGGTTTTGAAGCATCTGTTGAGTAGAAATTTTTGTACACATCTGCCTCTAGTTTTCACGGTTATCACATATAAAAAGAACTTTCATACACTTTGATGGCCTCTTTGGTTAATTACAAATAAATTGACTATTAGTTGCTTCTTATTTTGTTTTACTAAGGCCACTTTCATCCATCAAGTTTCTTGAGGCAACAGTTTGCTAAATGGTTATTTTGATTCAAAATAAATAAAGAATAACATTATGAAATATGATACCATATCAAATATACCTCTCTTAAAATGTGATCAAACTCCTTTGTACTGAACCATCCATCATTGTATGTTGGCTGCCTTCTTTTAAGCAACAATGGCTTCTTTTCCCACACATCTCTAAATGAATATGCATGAAAATAAACTTTGTATACTCATAGTAATTCATTTACCTCAATAAAGGTTGTGGCCAGTTAGGATAAAATAAAATAATTATGGAGAATTTTCTAACTTGAAAAAACACTTTTTAATTTGTTTTTTTGCAGTAAAAACCCAACTAATAATTCAAGGAAACTTCCTTAAAAGCAAGTATTCTCACAAACATGAACCATGAAAAGAATTGAAAACTTGTTCACAAACTGATCCCCCTGTACATGCATTTTCAAGGCACTGCTATTGGTTTTTTATTCTTCATAGACCTATGGAACCTCTCAGTCTGGCAAAGTTGTAGGTGGGCAACATAAAAATGAATTTTAAATGTAAATTTCACTTTCTCATCCTTCTCCTAGAAATGAGGAAAATTGGGAAAAACAGTTCTGTGATTACTTTTTAGAGTCTTTACAGGGCTACAGGTGTTAGGAAACAATATTTCATAGGTAAAAAGATAGTTTCCTATAAAGATAGCTTGCTGTACTTATAGAAAATGAAAAACTTGTATCTTTTGGTCTTCTTGTTCACCACATGCAAAGGCCCTAAAATACACTCAGGGAGAAAAATGCACAAACCAAACCAACTTCACAGCAATGAAGTATAATGCAGTGAGTGAGCAAAAATCTTTATTTTTCCTTATAAGTAGGCTGACACTTACTCAGTCCATAAGAAAAGTTTGAGAGTTGTTACTCCACTGCTTCATACTTTTAGATTTTTGCTCACTCACTAGAGTTTGAGACTTTTGTTACTTGTAGATTTGAACAATTTTTTTGCGGTACAGAATTTGAAAATGGCTTTGAAAAAAGCAAACATTTCACAACATACTAAAAGCTTCTTCGTCTGACACTCCTCTGAACATAAAATGTCAAAAATTTATACCCAGTTGTGGATTGAAATAGGCCAATCAGAAAAACGCAAACTGACGTAACTTTTTTGGTTGGTAGGAACGCAATCCTTTTGAATGGATGGAAGGGCTCTCCTAGTGCTGTAAACAATATGAGGATTGACAACAATACTTATAGATTTTGTCAAACTTGCTTAATTTTGACTTTGAGCACAAAACACACATCATACTGTATAACAAAAAACAATTTTTTTTCAAAACTATGAACATTCAACATTACATTTGTTAACAAAGAACAGCTTTAACAGTTTGGATTTTATTTCCTTGATGAAAACAGCTTATAATATTGCTATAGTCACAGTCAGAAAGTGCATATTGTCGTGCCCCATGGTTTTTTTAGGTGCAACAGTGAATCAAAGGATATGCTGAAATGGTACCCAACATACGCCATGCTTTGAAGGCCACTTCAGTGGGTTCTTCTTAATAATTCATATTTGAATTTTCAACAAGAGGAAAACCAGGTATAAACATACCTGAAAAACTTGCTTTTGTCAATTGGCTTTATAAGCCATGTCATAGCCTCATCTGGTGTAAAAGACTCGTGCAATATTTCTTGATTCTCTGCTTCAAGATTATCTTCTGAAGTCACCTGGACATGACAAAGAGAGATTCTGCTAGTTGCCAGGCTACTAGAAGAAGAACTTGAGTTGACTCTCGCAACAGGTTTCTTGAAATCCTTGGGTGGGATGATCTCTGTCTTATCTTGTTCTGCATCATTTGAAGCATTTTGAATATTTTCATTTAGTTTTGGTTGATCTCTCCTCTTTCTCCTTAGAGATTTTCTCAGAGACTGTAGTCTTGGCTCACTTTTACAGGTTTGAGATCTTTTGGCTTTTTTACTCTGATTTGTTGGTGGTGTTTTTACCGAGGCTTCCTAAAACAAAAAAACTTGTGCATTAAATTCCTTTAATGGTAGACTTTCATGAAAATTAGTCTCATATATATATAACATATTTTTAATATGTGCAGACAGGAAAGTTCTACCACAACGACAATTCATCACCTATTATAAAAAGAAACATCCAGTTCTAGTAAGGAGGGGATACAGAATAAAAGTTAACGGTCGCACATAAACACTACCCAGCAAGCGGTCTAGGGGGCCTCCCTCATTGTCAAGGACGGAGCCATGATGGGGGCCCAGCCCCCTGGAACAAGACCAACTAGGTCTAATTTTGAAGGCAAAGACCCTAAAGTATACCATGTCGATTTTTTCAACAACTATAAATAAGAAAATATATATAAATTCACCTTGCTCAAGAAGGTCATCTCGATTTTGGTCTAAAATATGATTTTTGTGTATTGTTTTAATGTAAGCATTTATTTTTTAAATGTGCATTGTCCGCTAAGGGGGACTGATACATTTTCATAGATGAAACGCCAAAATTGGATGCCATACTCTTTAGGAACGAGAGTTGCGACACCAACAAGGTTCATAGGCCTTGTAGTAGTTCTGAGGGTAGCGATGGGACTGGGGAATATCTTAAAGTTTAGCCAGCTCTGAAATGTTTAAATTGCTCAGTCAAATATTTTTGCCTTACAAAATGTTTTCCAAATCTTCCAAAATCCAACACGCAGTTGAAACAAAATATCTTGAGATTCAAAAGTGTACACTCCCTGTGCACCTCTTCTGTATAGATAAAGAAAAATTGGGATTCTTCTCCTTCACAACTTCCAACCTCATCCACTTTCTTCCATTGCCACCAGTTGTGCGGCACAGTAATCTAACATAATGTTTACAGAATTTTGGTGCAGCACAAATATGTGAAGATTTGAACCTTGATTGGTAAGATTTGGTAAAATATTTGCATAACAAAGAGCCCTGCATATTTGTGCAGCAAAAGAAGACATGCTTAAAAATCAAACTGTTCACAGTCTAGGATGGTCTTTGAATTTCTTCTTTATTGGATTAAGGTTACGGGAAACGTTTTTGACACGATATTTGGTTTTTTCTCCCTAAAAGCAAAACTATCAACGGAATCAGATTAAACATCATTCGATGCACAAGAATGTGGTGATTCCAACTATATCAAAATCATTGGCAAATATTGTAAAATGATACTTCCAGGCAAATTTATTGATCAAATGAGTGTACCACCTTCAAAAGCTATTTTGTGCCCTTGCGTTTGAGATAACAAAATCTGAATCATATCAGCAGAAAGCACCGATCCTTAGCTACAAAAGTCTCAGATTTTTCTCCGACATCTGTCCTGGCAGTGTGCAAAGTTTTGAGCCATTCGATTAGTTCCTTGGGTACAAAATAGCTTTTTTGTACCTTTATGTAAACAAATAGTAAGCTCGGAGAAACCACAGTGTAATCCAGGTCAAGTCACTTGAAGCTTTAGGATCAATAAGCCTGTTTAAATAAACACGGTGGTCGTACATTGGAGACTGGATACATGGATGTGCCAAGCGATATTGTAAAAGAGACATTTGAGACCACAACCACAAAGCAACGATAATCGGCTTAACAGGTGAAGAGACTTTCAGGCCTCAACTAAAAGTTCTGATGAAAAAATTATGGAAACCTTCGTTTATATGGGAATTTTTTCTATTTTAAAAATCTCTGTTAGTTTCAAATTTTGTATTATTCTGTGCCTTGAAAGTTCGTTTACTTGAATGTGAAAAAATCGAAAAATTGATGTTTTCATCCAGAAAACATTTACCGTAACCTTAAATCGTGGCATTGTGTGTGATATCGACCAAGTTCAGTCCTGTGTTTATTGTGTAAAGAGAGTTAAAGATATAACTATAGGGAGGAAAATAAAAGATCGTGGTAAAAATGATTGCCTAATTTTAATGTCTGAAGACGAAAATTGAATTCTGAAAATCTGACGGTCTTCCATGCGACCTGTGCGACCTGAATTCGCCTAGTCTACCAAATAACATTTCTTGACGGGTGTCTAGAAACGAAGGATCTTCGATGCCGATCTTATTTTGAATAAAGAAGAGCCACAAAACTTAGTAGCATAGTCCAAGCCCCTGAATTTAGCTGTTCTGATGAACAAAAGATTAGAAATAAACCTTTTCATTGGATGGTTGCTGCTCTTCCATCGAGTTTGGCAAAGACCCTCTCCTTGCGCGCTTCTGTGATTTGACAGCCATCCTATGTTCCTCATACTCCGCAATGCCAGCTATCAGGTTTGGAGTGCTAAAACATTCCAAACTATTTTCTTTACCCTGGTTTGCTCCTTTAAACACACTAAATGCAGACCTTTTTCTTGTTATTGCGGCCATTTTAGCGCAAACTTCGAGAACACGCGCCAATACACACGAGCCTCGCTTTAGCAGTTTCACCCTCCTAGTGACGCAAGCACCGAACTAAAAGAAGTACGAGGACTTGAAAATAGACTACCTGACAGCTCGAGGTGGAGAACGTTTTCAAAGCAAGGAAAAAAGTTCCCTACACCGAAGCCTTTAACAACTATTCAAAGCAGTTGTTACCCGCAGGTTACTGCAAATTATATTCGCAATAAACATATTTAATGTGAACCAGGGATTGAAACTCATTTGTTAGGTGGCTACAGAATAACCGATCTGTGTAGGGCGTAAAATAGTTGTATCAAAACATTAGTGTTTCTTTATTGTCAGCTTGAAGGTTTGAATACCTTTGCATCAAAATAAAGTCAAAGATAAATTACCATATGATTTTGTGCTATATTGTACCATACTTTTTTGTTAAATCTTCGTTTGAATTTTTCCAGCAATTTTAGAATAGCCTTCATTTTAGCCAAAAGCGAAGATCTACTCATGGATTTTCACTGGCATCACAACTATGTACGAGTTTGAATAATGAACAGCTTCTTCTGGCTTGATTAACAGCTTAATGAACTTTATCATGACACATGCCCCCTTATTCCAATACTCATTCAAAGTGTCCATGTATCTCTTTATTGCCAGTGACTGGCTCCATTCCGAAGGGAACAAGGTTCACAAAAATTAGAATAAAGGTAAGGTAAATATATGCAGCTTCTATGATTTGAAATGAAGTCGTGAGACCAATTCAATGTAAAAAAATCCAACTCTTTGATGCTCCTATGAAACTTATTCTTTTATCATCTCGTACCTCAAGAGAGGGGTAAACTTGAAAAGAAAGTGAGTGGGGATTATACGCTTAAGTAAGAAATGGTTTCTTCTGGTGGCGTTCACTGCATATTTCATAATTATTTTTAGGATTTCTTGCAAACTTCAAAAAATTTGTAGTAATATTGGGTTAAATCTAAAAAATTAAATAAGGTCAAGCATTGGTCCTGGTACCAGCTCCTTTAGTGCAAAAATATGCGCATAGTTAGGTAACTTATCAAAATGTATCAATTAGATCGTACTATCTCTCTACCATTTACCCTGGGGGGGGGGGGCAAAATAAGCCTAATTTTGGACGGGGATGTGCCATTTTGGTTAAAAATATGAACCCATAATTCCGCAAATGTCTGAAAAATATGACCCATAGTTCAGCAAACATGATGAAAACTATACCCATAATCCCGCAAAGCAAATGAAATTTTTAAGCACCTGAAAAAATCATGAAGCAAATTTTGCATGTTTTTTGCCCCCAAATCTCAACATTACACATATTCTATACTTTTATTTCCAACTGGACATTCATTTTGTTTATGCTAAATTTTCCCTCTAATAATTTTGCAATATTTTCCCAAAATGGCACCCATAATTCTCCATGTTTCTTCAAATGGTACCCATAGTTCCACACATATTTCAAAAACTGATACCGATAGTTCCGTATTTTTCAGAAAAAAAGTACCCCTAGATAATGGCACGTTCCCGTACCTTCAAACATGTTAAAGTACCCCCTCCCCCCCCCGAGCATTTACCTGTCAAGTCAATCCGCCCTCCATCCCAACCCTTCCAAAGTTTCATACGAACCAGCAGGACTGGGATAATGTAATCGAATTTTCTCAGAAAAAATTCCTTGAGTCGCAAACTGACTTTTGATAACGTTTGAAAGTGCCCGCTCCTGTGCTGTACCTTATAAAAAATGGGTGCATTCCTTTTTTGCTTTTCTAGTTTTTCTAACGATATAATATAAAATGCAAACCTTTTAAACCCCTCCAGCAGTTCTGTCCCGGTGTAATTCGCAAATTGTCCCAAATCATTCCAAACCTTGGAGATTGTCCTCCCAAACGTCTATAACAAAACATGAAACAACAATAACGAGCTTCCATCTTTTTGAGCATACTTTTCTGGGCAAGTTTCATATACTTTTTCGCTCGTGTATGTATCTTTCATTTATTAGTGACAACCCTGCATTTACGATCTATTTGCTGGTTTTTTATCATATGCTAACAATGAATTTAACTAAAAATTTTGCTTCATTGCAATTTTTTCTCAAGATTCCTAGAGTTTGTTGCGAGAATCCCTAGGTTCAGTTGGTCAAAGTCCACATTCCATTCCGCTAAAGGGACTGGGAATGAAAAGTGCGCGGTCGGCGAATACTGGAACAGGAGCCAGTGATTGCAACGTAGAATTTCAGTGTTTTTGTTAAGTTTTTTGCACGCAATCGCCGTCAAGGTGGCGAAAATTATGCTTGTGCTCTGTTGACTTAGTTAATTGTGTCTACGGCATCAGGAATGTGGTTTGGTCTTGCTCCAAAAATTCCGTGGCGCTATCCTGAAGTCCATTCGCACTTGCATTGCCGAAGATGAGGCCAGGTGTCGACAGGCCTAGTCGACGGAAGAAGAAGGTCGATTATTTGGAAGCGAATAGTGACAATGAATTCCTTTATGCCGACCAAGCCAGCCCAAATTCCAGCGAAAGCAAGAACCACTCAGATTCAGGTAGTTTCGCCATTTTCCTTAATACACCCATGGCTATTGTTTAAATTGAACATTTCAAAAATTCAAACATAAAAAGTCATTTTCCATCGCCACAGTGAGTGCCCTTAAGGGTTTTCTCCAAATAAATCAACAGGCACATCTATATTTATAAAAGTTTCTTTATTAAAAGCTAAGAATAACACAAGCTCCGGAGGGGAGTAGGCACAAGCAGGGAGGTAGTGGTGGGGCTCAGGGGGGCGCAGCCCCCCTTGTTAAAATTTTCGAAAAAAGTTGGGTTATTATATGCATGAAAATATACACAAAATTTGACATATTTTGATAGAAAATTCCTGTTTTCTTAACACAAGAGAAAATGTGTCATTTCAAAATTCAATTAATGAGTGATTAGTCTTAAAGATAAAGTTCTTCCTTATCGATGCTATAGATATTTTATATGTATTTCTGGCCATTCTTAGAATGTCATATCTCAAAAAATTTTCTACAGAAAAGTAGGCGGCTTTAACTGAATCATTGAGCAATATAAACATTGTGCTCCCTCACTTGCAGTGAAGTTTCCCCCAGCCCTTGCCATGTTATCAATATTCTGATCTCAGCTGCCGCTCAAACAATCAATGTACCTGGCTACTCAAACAATGAACGGAAGAGCCATCAACCCTCACCATCTTCTAATTGCAAGAACATACAAGAACAACTTGGAATTTTCATAGAGTCCCCCTCGACTTCATCCCTGATTTCAAGCAAGGACTGCAGAGTATATTACAGATATTTTTTGGGGGAGAGGCCCCTTAGCATCTCCCTGCTTCCACGGTCCCTGGTCTCAAGGGTAGATTGAAGACACATAAATTTTTTTTCAAAAAAGACTTATTGTTGTCCAAAAAGGTGATGATGAGGTGGAATGGCCCAGCATGGATTCCATGGCAGCTGGACTCCCTAGAATTTTTTGTAAAATTTGAATGCACCCTTTCCTTGCACACCTGATTATTGAGCATGACTTGGATGTGGCTTTGGGCATGGCTTAAATTCACAGGTTTTTACAAAATGACTGCAAAATGACTTTCTAAATTTGTTTGGGAAAGAGATTGAAAAATGTCATTTTTAATTGAGTAATCCTCTTGAGATCAGGGCTGCCAAGAGGTTTCCAAGTCCTAGGGCAAAACTGAAAGATGTGGCCCAAATGAGCAAAGGGAGCAAAACATTTTTGTGATCACTACTTAGCTTAAAATATATTTTAGAATAATTCTTGCAGTAATTTTCTTGCAATCCTTTAAAATGTTGTGCTATTAGTCCCCCTGAGTTACCAGGCCTGGAATCATCAATTAGAATTATCATGTTTTTGGCCTTGGTAATTGTAGGAAAGTTTAATTTCAACTTTCAATCATTTAATTTTTCTGTGATAAAAAATTAATAAAAACTGGATAAATGCCAAAAGAAAGCCATGGAAAACCCCAAGAATCACTTGTAAATTTGGTGCACACTCAAATTTTCAAACTTGTCACTAGTGTACTCTTGCACTCCCTGGTAAGAGTTTGTGCACTCTCGAGATCTTGTTGAACTGCCATGAAATTTAGACCAGGGCATGGCCATTAACACTTCATCGTTGAATGCCATGAATAAGTTTTTAGGTTTAGATAAAATATTTGTCAAAACAGCACAGGCTGCATCCATCTTGGGGATGGCTTCATTCTCCAATTTTACAATATTCCTTTCTTTGTAGTAATAGTAATGTAATTTATAAATGCCTTTGAATAAAGTAAACATTAAACAATTAACTTTCATGTTTTTTTAAGTCTTCAGAGTAGAAAACATAGGAATAATGATTGAAATTTATTAGCTTAAGAATGTAAATACCAAGCTATGGGTCAAAATAAGCCAACCAGTAATGCCACAATATGTACGGTTAGGCGTCACATTTCTAAACTGTTCCAAATGCGTCACTGAACTAAACTGCCTAAACTGTTCCAAATGGAACTGCTAGCTGTACTTAAAGGAGTAGGCCTGGCTAACTATTCCTATTTGTAGCTGATCAATCCTGCCATTGCAACACAAAGCGTATCATTAAGTCTAGAACATTTTGCTTTTTTCTATCAAAAGATGATTCATTTTCAGATAATTTATCAAATGGAACTAGAGCTTTAAGGCTGATTCAGAGTACTACATGTGAACTAGTCATTACAGTTTTAGGAAAAAGATGTAAAGTTGGCTCTTGTATACTTCCTGCTACCCAGTGCAGTTCCATAAAGTTCCAAATTTTGTCTCCATTGACAACATCATCACACTGATATTGGTGTTATGAATAGCATTTGAAAAGCCTTGGAATGTTACCTTTTCTATTTTCAGGACTTTTTATGTAATCATAGTTAACCATATTTATGAATTCTATTGTTGCTCAGATTTCCAATGTTTATGCTGTCCTTTCTATTGATGCACAACTATTAAATGTGTAGGAATCATAATGGAGCCATAAGCTTGATAATATTTAATTATTTTTACTTTATCCCTGAATAAACTTATTTTTTTCAAATAACCTGATTTAATGTTATTTCCTGTTTGTTAGATGATGCAGGTGACATTCCTCCAGAGTTCAGAAGTGCTGGTCTCATCGCGCAAATGGATATACCTAAAGGCAAGGTGTTTGGGCCCTTTGCAGGAGTTATCAGTGAGCAAAAGGCATCTCCCTCAACAATGCATACCTTTATCTGCAAGGTACATTTTTTCAACTTTCCAAAGTGATTCATTTTAACTGGCATTTGCCATGTATAAAATGCTTCCAACTTTTTAAACAGGTATTTTAAACTATCATGGTAACATCCCATTGTTTGTCGATCAAGATCAAGTTCTGAATTGCTGCTAAGGCCATTTCTGTACATTATAGCTTCTCCCCCAGTCAAGTTGACTGTAAACAATTAAAAGGCAAAAACCAGATATCTTGCTTTTGCTTTGACTTACATCAAAGCAAAATGACTTATGAAATTGACTCTAAAGCCACTTAAAATAAATTTGTGTTGTTATCATATTGTTTAGACCAGAATACAATACAAGGGTACATGTTTAATTATCTACAGGCAACCTTGTGTCATCAGTAGCAGATTAAAACTTTTCAATGAATTCAACACTGTAAGTTATGTTGCATGTAGTGGAGGAAATTCATTTTTCAGGTGTGGGAGAGGGGGGGTGGGCAATGCCGACAAAAACAAGTGAATTTTTGCTAACAAATGACAATTTACAGACAAAAGCATGCCTTAACTGACAATCTAGGAAAACCCTGGGGAGAGCACTTGCCCACCCACATCCTTGGAAATTTCTGCCACTGTTGTAGAGTACCAAGCAAATCGAATGAACAGTTTCAACATCATGGATTTGTCTGTTTAAAAACATTTTTCAAAAAGTCTGCATCTTCATTGACCTTCACATGAGAACTTAATCTTGATTGACAAACCTTATATTGGGACTGGATGTCCCATGAAATACAAGGTGGGCATTTTGCTGTAGCTGCTTCCACGGTCACCTAAAGTCCTGAATATGAACCATACACTAACCATCTGCAAATAAACATATCATAGAAATTCTCTGCCTTGGAAATCTCATCAGCTGGAATTTTATCTACTATTTATCTGGCAATTTTTATCATTCATCTGTCTCTCCCAAAGAGTCCAATAGACATATTTCCCATTCAAATTCTTATGGCCAGGCCTAGAATATATTTGAAAACAACTGTCACTCTGTTATGGTTTTTAATAGGTTGACAATCATACTAACAGCCAGACTTTTTCTTGGGAAGATAAAGCAATTATTGGATCGTGAATTGCAAAATTGTTTTCAGCTTTTTGCATTGTTTCTTTGGCTCTAAAATGCTCAAAATTTTCTTGTCATCAATACAGTGTTTATTTTAAGGTGAAAGATTCTAGTACACTTGGATTCAAATACTTTCATGCCAATAAAAATGAAAAGAAAAAATGTGATTGGCTGAAGATGATCCAACCTCCATTTGGTAGTAAATCTAACAACATTGTTGTCTATGGCAATAATGATGGTGTGCACTACAAAGCTATTGAGGACATTGCCATCGGGGAAGAATTGCTGGCATTGTGTGAAGATCATCAACCAGGTGAAAGTTGCTTGTTTTTAAGTCTTTTTAAAACCTCTCTGCATACTACCATCAAGCTAAATAGCTATTATAGGATCGTTTCAGTAGTGTCTTTTAATAAGTAAATTGTGAAAGGGTAGTATCTTTATAATGCAGCATACTGATGTTGCACCCTTCGTTCAACTAGGTGGGAAGATCTATGAACAATGTCTGATATACAGGGATAATAACAAATGTTGACTCTTATCTAATCCAAGATAATAGCTGAATGTCATGTGCAAAAATTTTGAAACTTTTCCGTAGATTATTCACTCTTGTTTTGGGCATTAGTAGAAAGGATATCAATGATAGCATACCAAGTTAGATCAGGCTACTTGGTTTATCTTATATTAAGTACCAATAAGTACATCAGAGATCTGACTTATTTGTTTAACAAACCCGTTTGCAAGCGTTCTTCATTAAAAAAAGATTAGATTTAGGATATTAAGACCCAAACAGAAGTTCATTTCAAGGGTTAAGTATTTGCTAGTACGAATGTCACTGATTCTAATAATTCAGTTTTTATTCAGGTTCAATCCGAAAATGGGCAGTTTCTTCTCGCAAAAAACGCCCATCGGTTATAGTTTTGAAAAAAACGGGCGGTGATGAAGCCTTGGGCCTAAGTGAATCAGTCCAAGTGGAAACTCAAAAGCGAGAAAGAAGTAGGAGGAACAATAGGAGATCAAGCTTAGCAATTCAAGAAAAACAGGACTAAGTAACTCAGGAGGTTGAACACTGTTCAACCATCACTTCATATGAT